GTCAGCATAAAGCAGGGCCCAGTGTGGTTTCCTCCTCCACCGGGCCTGCTTTAAGGGGGTGTTTAATTGCTGCTTTGCATGTGAACATGGGGCCAGACAGGAGCGATGCCACAGGCAGATGTTGCTGCTGTGCCGCAGGGCAGGGACTGTGCTGCAGCCCTGCCTGGGGAAGGGACAAGTAGGACCTGCTGGGTGCTGCCCATGTATGCAATGAGTTGAGTCTGGTCTCAGCCTGGACACCGCAGTGCTTCCAAAGGGCTGCCCAGCCCTTCGGCTTCCCAATGGATACGGTGTCCCCTTTTGCTGTGCCTTGCACCCCCTTTCCCTCCCTGTCACCCCTCTTTGGCTCCGCTCTCACATCCCACTCCTCATCCTCCCGCTTGCTGATGCTGACCCCCCCTCCCCTCCCTTCTTCTTCTTTCCAGCCCCTGTCACGGCTGCCGGGTGCTGTGCACGGCCCAGGCTGCCGCCTCCGTGACCCCCGAGCGTGGAGCGGCCCCTGGGGCTCCGGGGTAAGTCCCGTTTTTTTTGGTCAATATATTGCACGTTTTTTCAAAGTTTCCTTTTTTTGTTTCTCTCTTTGGTCCTTGCCCCACCCCGAAGGGTCAAAAAAAAAATAAATAAAACAAACCAAAAACTTTGAAAAACCGCACAGTATATTCAGAAAAAAAGGGACTTACCACCCCCCCCCCCCTTCCTCCCTCCCTACCCCAAACCCTTCACCCTTGTGGGGGGGCTCAGCACGTGGCAGGGCAGCGCTGCATGCGGGGCTGGGGGCTTTGAGACCTGGGGTGTCCCATCCCACATGCAATAAGGGGGTCTTGCCTCCATCCATCCATCTCCGGAGGGTTTTGGCTATCCCCGGTTGAGGAACAGGGGTTGGGTGTGTGGGTGAGAGCAGAGGGGCAGAGCCTGACTTCCCCCCCCCCCCGCCTTTTCCTCCCCAGGCCAGCAGCAGCTCACTGTGCAGAACGTGTCTGGCAACAACCTGACCATCAGCGGCCTGAGCCCGACCCAGATCCAGCTCCAGATGGAGCAAGCGCTGTCCGGAGAGGCTCAGCCCGGGGAGAAGAGGCGGAGGATGGCGTGTACCTGCCCCAACTGCAAGGATGGCGACAAGAAGTGAGTGTGGAGCGGGACAGGGGCAGCCCTGTGGGACCAGCACCCGTCCCTGAGGCTAAGGAGGTTGAGGGAGGGGATTCTCCCCCTCTGCTGTGCTCTGGGGACTCCCCACTGCAGTCCTGATCCAGCCCTGGGGCAGCAGCACAAGAGGGATGTGGAGCTGTTGGATGAGGCCAGAGGAGGCCATGGGGATGCTGCGAGGGCTGGAGCAGCTCTGCTCTGGAGCCAGGCTGAGAGAGCTGGGCTGGGGCAGCCTGGAGGAGAGAAGGCTCCTGAAGGGGAGACCTCAGAGCAGCTCCAGTGCCTAAAGGGGCTGCAGGGAACCTGGAGAGGGGCTTGGGACAAGGGATGTAGGGACAGGGCAAGGGGAATGGCTTGAACCTGCCTGAGGGGAGACTGAGCTGAGCTCTTAGGCGAGGAGCAGGGCTGGGGCCCCGCAGCCTGTGAGGACAAAGCGGGGTTGCTGGGGATGATGCTGGGGACACCCATGGCTGTGGTGCACAGCATCCATGGGGCACAGAGCCACACGGGATGGGTACACAGGGACATGTGGGGATCAAGACCCACCTCTGGAGCCACGTTGCTCTCCAGCAGCCCCGCCAGCCTCTTGAGGAACTGGACATTGCTGTTACTGATGTCTGCGGGGTCAGAGCGGGTGCTCAGCCGTGGGCAGGACCAGCACATCCCCATCCCACTCCATCTGTGGTCCCCTCATCAGTTTCAGTGCCACCCACAAACTGGGTCCCCATGGGTGGATACTGGAGTGGGGCTCTTCATCAGGGGCTGCTATAGGACAAGGGGTGATGGGTTCAAACTGAAACAGGGGAAGTTCAGATTGGATACAAGGCAGAAGCTCTTCCCTGTGAGGGTGCTGAGGCGCTGGCACAGGGTGCCCAGAGAAGCTGTGGCTGCCCCATCCCTGGCAGTGTTCAAGGCACAGGGGCTTGGAGCAAGCTGCTCCAGTGGAAGGGGTCCCTGCCCATGGCAGAGGTTGGAGCTGGGTGATCTTTAATCCCCCTTCCAACCCAACCCATTCCATGATGTTCCCCCCCTGTCTTCCCTCCGCAGGCCGGGCGATGCAGGGAAGAAGAAGCACATCTGCCACATCCCCGAGTGCGGCCGCACCTTCCGCAAGACCTCGCTGCTGCGGGCCCACGTGCGCCTGCACACGGGCGAGCGCCCCTTCGTCTGCAACTGGGTGTTCTGCGGGAAGCGCTTCACGCGCAGCGACGAGCTGCAGCGACACGCGCGCACCCACACAGGTCTGCACCCCAATCCCCTCCCCTGTCCCAGCCCTTGGGATGCGATCCGATAAGGACTGGGATGATGCTGGGCCACCAGTGAGGTGTGAGTGGAGGGCAGACCTGGATGAGGGAACTGAGTGTGCTATCAGCAAGTTCGCTGATGACACTAAACTGGGAGGAGTGGCTGACACAGCAGAAGGCTGTGTTGCCATTCAGTGAGACCTGGACAGGATGGAGAGCTGGGCAGGGAGGAACTTGATGAAATTCAACAGGGGCAAGTGTAGAGTCTTGCATGTGGGGAAGAACAACCCCATGTACCAGTACAGGTTGGGGACTGACCTGCTGGGAAGGAGCAAAGGGGAAAGGGACCTGCGGGTGCTGATGGATAGGAGGATGACCATGAGCCAGCAATGTGCCCTTGTGGCCAAGAGGGCCAATGGCATCCTGGGGTGCATTAGAAAGGGTATGGTGAGTAGGTCAAGAGAGGTTCTCCTCCCCCTCTATTCTGCCTTGGTGAGGCCACATCTGGAATATTGTGTCCAGTTCTGGGCCCCTCACTTCAAGAAGACCAGGGAACTGCTTGAAAGAGTCCAGCGCAGAGCCACAAAGATGATGAAGGGAGTGGAGCATCTCCCTTATGAGGAGAGGCTGAAGGAGCTGGGTCTCTTCAGCTTGGAGGAGACTGAGGGGTGACCTCATCAGTGTTCACAAATATGTAAGGGGTGGGTGTCAGGATGATGGAGCTAGGCTTTTTTCAGTGATGCCCAGTGCTAGGACAAGGGGCAATGGGTGTAAACTGGGGCATAGAAGGTTCCACGTTAACATCAGGAAGAACTTCTTTACTGTGAGAGTGCCAGAGCACTGGAACAAGTTGCCCAGGGGGGTTGTGGAGTCTCCCACATTGGAGATATTCAAGGCTCGCCTGGACAAGTTCCTGTGTGATGTACTCTGGGTTACCCTGCTCTTGCAGGGGGGTTGGACCAGATGAGGTCCCTTCCAACCCTTGGGATTGTGTGTGATACACAAAACTTCAGGCTTGGGGGGGGTGACACAGGAAGGGGCTCCAATAGGGACTGATTGAAGGGGTGTTGCTGGCACCGTGTCCTGGTGCTGGCTGCAGGGATAGAAGCAGGTTGGGGACACGGTGGCTGTCACCTCCTGACCCACATCTCTTCCCCGCAGGTGACAAGCGCTTCGAGTGCGCGCAGTGCCAGAAGCGCTTCATGCGGAGCGACCACCTCACAAAGCACTATAAAACCCACCTGGTCACCAAGAACTTGTAGGGCCAGGGGCTGCCCCACGGCCAAGCAGACCGGGGGGGGTGGTCCCCACCTAAGCAGTGCCACGGAGAGGAGCCCTCAGGGACATCCTCCTGCCCTTGGTTGATGGCACCACGCAGCAGCCGCTTCCAAAGGGGGCAATGGGCTGAGCATCCCTGCGGATCCCGGGATCCAGCAGCATTCCGGAGCCGGGTACGGAGGGGACTGCGCACGCCGGTGCGGGCAGGCTGGGAGAGGCTCCACAGCACATTCCTACTTTATATTTAAAGTCTATAAATAGCTATAAATATCTATATAACCCCTTTGGAAGGTCCCTTTTTTTCTATGGAGATCGTTGCCTTAACGCTCCCCGCTCCCGATGACGAACACTGTGTATTGTGAGCATTCTTTTGAATCTATTTAATTTCTGCTGCCCGTTTTTCCCTTTTCTCCTAACATTGCCTTGTTTCCCAACACTGAAGACTTTGTTTTTCCTTTCCCCCCGATGATTTTGCTCTCCCCACTTCCCCTTTCCCAAGCGACGTGGCATTTCCTCACCGATTTTGGGATGCGAATCCCTTTCCCTCCCCTGCTGCCCGCCACCCTGTGTATAGTGTACATTGTACCATAGATTCTATTGCTTTTGTGTTTACTATGTGTTTCAAAAAGGAAAACCAATATGGCTTGTTATTTTGGAGCTTTTAAATTAAACCAAATCCGCTTTATTTTGGAGTTGTAACCGCCCAGGGTTGTTTCCTGCAGGAGGTGACAGAGCTCTTACACTCCATGAGCTGGAGATGGGGAGCCAGCCGGGTGCTTGCCTTGCTAAATAAACTCAGTCACCAGAGTGCAGCGTCTGCCACCAGGGTCCTTGCCCTCCTCAGCTGGCACTGCGTGGGACCAGGGCAGCAAAGAGCTTCCTCGGCCAGAAACCAAGTGGGTTTATTAACAGGAATCCCAAATATCGCTGGAAATCAACTGATTTACAGGAAAACAGGCCGGGATGTGCGGAGCACCTCTGCCCCCAGGACTGCTGGATCTGCATGCGGCACTGAGGGGCACCAGCACTGGCATCGCAACCAGCCCTTATCCCATTCCCTGCTGCTGGAGCGAGCAGCACACGTGGCCATGAGCTCTACCACCGTGGGGCTGCCCCAGTTGGTGCCTGCAGGGTGAATCCTCCAGCTGCAGCCCCTCTACAACCACAAGGACACGATCCCGACCGGTTCCCCCCGCCCGTCCCCGCGGGACGCTGTACCTTTAAGAGCCCCTCCATGTGTCTGTTTACAACCCTCGCACTCCTTCCGGGTCTCTTCGTCCCGCCCCCTTCTCCTCCAATTGGCTCCAAGCGCTCCGCATTCGTCACTGCATAGGACGCTTCCTATTGGCTGTGAGGAGGGGAGTGGCACGGCCGTGGACGGGACCATTGCGGAGCCGCAGCGCGGGGGGGGGTCCGGTTGGCTCCGCCGGGCTCCGCTCGGCGCCCATCGGCCGGGATGGACCTGGGGCCGCTGCGGAAGAGCTACCGGGGGGACGAGGAGGTGCGGACACGGTGTGGAGGGGGACACGAACGGGGTGTGGGGGGGGCCACGGGTCCCTGCTCCGGCTGTGACCTGGGGCCGCCGTGACCCCCCCCCCGGGCTGGCCCGAGGCCTGCAGTGACCCACACACGTGTTGGTGGTGACCGTGGGAATGCGGTCCGTCCCCCGTGCTCACTGTGCTCCTGTATTGGGGTGACCCCAGCTCCAGGGCAACGGGGGTCACCCCATCCCCTGCATGGATCACCCGGGGTGGGGGGGGATCCATGCCTTGGCCATGCCCTTGTCTCTGCTGTGCCCCCCCCTCCTTCACCGTGTCCCCGGTGTCCCCAGGCCTTCGAGGAGCAGCACTTGGCCTCCCGTGACCCCATCGAGCAGTTCCGAGCGTGGTTCGAGGAGGCCGCGAGCTGCCCGGACATCGGGGAGCCCAATGCCATGTGCCTGGCGACCTGCACCAGGTGAGGATGGGGAAGGGGGGGGGGCACGACACGGACCTTCCCATTGGGACATGGTTGGAGAGGTGAGAGCCTCAAGAGGAGCATCACTGTCATGGAGGGAGGAGGATGTGAGGCCATGGGGATGCTGCGAGGGCTGGAGCCAGGCTGAGAGAGCTGGGCTGGGGCAGCCTGGAGAAGAGAAGGCTCCTGAAGGGGAGACCTGAGAGCAGCTCCAGTGCCTAAAGGGGCTGCAGGAAACCTGGAGAGGGGCTTGGGACAAGGGATGTAGGGACAGGCCAAGGGGAATGGCTTGAACCTGCCCGAGGGGAGACTGAGCTGAGCTCTTAGGCAGAAGCTCTTCCCTGTGAGGGTGCTGAGGCGCTGGCACAGGGTGCCCAGAGAAGCTGTGGCTGCCCCATCCCTGGCAGTGCTCAAGGCCAGGTTGGACACAGGGGCTTGGAGCAAGCTGCTCCAGTGGAAGGGGTCCCTGCCCGTGGCAGGGGCTGGAGCTGGATGAGCTTTAAGCTCCCTTCCAACCCATTCCATGGTGTTTCTATGATCCCCTCTGCAGGGACGGGAAGCCCTCGGCCCGCATGGTGCTGCTGAAGGGCTTTGGGCAGGATGGTTTCCGCTTCTTCACCAACCACGAGAGCCGCAAGGGGAAGGAGCTGGTGAGGCTGCAGCTATGGGGGATGCAAGGGGAGGGAACACTGGGGCTGTGGCTCTCAGAGAGGTGAAGCAGCCCCAGGCTGGGTCCTGCACCGTGCACCTTTGGGGTCCTCTGGCTGCTCACATCTTCTCCCCATCGCATCCCAGGATACGAATCCATTTGCATCCCTGGTCTTCTACTGGGAGCCCCTCAACCGGCAGGTGAGTTGTGTTCCCCCAGGGGTATGGGGAGCAGAGGGAGCACCCATAGGTCCGGTCTTCAGCACATGGGTGCTCCACACTTGGGGTGGGATTTTGGGGCTCCCACTTGGATAAGGGCTATGAGACGTGATGGGGGTGCCCATTATTGGGAGGGTGGGGGCAGTTCCTCCGTTGGGGTCCATGTGGCCCTATTGATGCGGTGACGATGCCCAGCACAGGTCCGGATCGAGGGCTTGGTGACGCGGCTGCCGGAGGAGGAATCGGAGCGGTACTTCCATTCCCGTCCCAGGAGCAGCCAGATTGGGGCTGTGGTGAGCCGGCAGAGCACCGTTATCCCGGACAGGGAGGTGAGCAGCCACCCTTTTCCCCATGGAACAACACCGGGAGCTCCGGTGCTTCCATCCCACTCACCCAAATCCCCTGCAGTACCTAAGGAAGAGGAATGCGGAGCTGGAGGAGCAGTACCGGGATGCGCCAGTGCCAAAGCCACCATACTGGTGAGTACTGGGGGGGCTGCGGCGCGGCGCTGGTCCCCAGTGCCCCCCATTGAGCCCCGTGGTGGTGTTCCAGGGGGGGTTACATCCTGCACCCGGATATGGTGGAGTTCTGGCAGGGGCAGACCAACCGCCTGCACGACCGCATCGTCTTCCGGCGGCTGCGGGACGGCTCCGAGCCCTTGGGTGCCATGAGCCACCGCGGCGAGGGCCCTTGGGTCTTCGAACGCTTCTCACCCTGATGCCATCACTGTCCCCTTGTCCATCGGGAGCGTTGTCTGTGTTTATCCCTTGGGAATAGGGTCGGAAGCTGCCCCCATGCCCAGCACGTTCATGGTTGTGGATGGACCAAGACAAACCTCAATGATCCCCCCCCCTCCCTCCACTGTTCAGAGCCCTGTGAGTGTGCAAGAACTGATTTAATTGTGCAATAACTTATTGAATGGTGGCATTAACGCCACCCGTGCTCGTGGCTGTGCATTGCCACCACCGTACCCCATCTCCCTCCATTCTTGGGGTTCCTCTCCCTGTTTCCCCCCCGTCCCTCTCCAGCTGCTTGGCAAAGCTTGGACATAATAAATCCCAATCATTGCAGCGCTGCGTGCTGGCTCTGGTTAATATTTACCCACATGGGGCTGGGCTGCGCTCTCCAGAGCTGGTGCAGCCGGGGGGATCCCGGCCCCATGGGGTGCTGCAGCCCTCGGTCCCCTGGGTCACATCCTGCTCTCACATTCGCCTTCCCCCGCTCCGTGTTTGCTGTCCCAGTCACTGGCTCTCGGGGCAGGATCGTGCCCCGTAGATGGGGATCCCATTGGGGTGGGTGGCAGTGAGAGGGGGCAGTGGGGACAACACAAGGCGGCAGCTTCATGACCCAGGGAGGAGCACAGGGAGGGGGAGATGGGGTCTCCCACCCATCCCAGCGCTGGGGAGCCCAGATACCACGGGGATGGGCGCAGCCGAGCCTCTGGGCACTGACACCTCCCTGCTCTCCCTCCCTTCCGTGTGGGGCAGGATCCCAGATGCACTGGGGACAAAGAGCAGGCTGGGAGCTGGGGCAGAGCAAACAGAGTGAACCATGGAGGGAGGGGGGGGGGGGGTTGGACTCCGGCACTTGGCACCATCCGGCTTTTGTCATAGCTGGGAAGTGGCTGCTGCTGTTGACTTCAGGCTCGGCCGCACCCAGCACCACGGGGATGGGCACCCAGGGGTGGCAGCACCAGGGACGGGCACCCCCATGTCCCCCATTCTGCAGGGTCAGGGCTTCCCGGTGGTGGCACCTTTGGCTCTGCCAGGGTGGGGATGGGGGTCCCCTGAGGTCCCCCCCACAAGGGGGCTTTGCTTCCACCCCCTGTTTATTACCAGCAGGTAAATACCAGCTTCCAACAGCCCCGGCCTGGCTCTGGGTGCTTCCAGGACCAGGAAGTGATTCCTGGGAGTGATCAGGAATCCGGCTCCTCCTGGGAAGCCTGGAGCACCCCATGGGGTTGTTCCCTCTGTGTCACATCCCTCGTTTTGGGGGTGATCCTGGTAAGGACACGGCTCTGCATCACTGGCTCTGCCCTTGGCCACACAGCCCATTGGGTTTGGGGGTGAGCCGGGTGGTCCCCATGGAGGGATGGGTAGGAGGGGATCGGGAATGGTATCGGAGCCGTGGTAGAACCGGGTGTGCGATGACTCCGGTGCTCCATAGCAAGCAACGAGGGTGAGCATCCTCATCCCAGTACAAACCAGTCAGTGCTCGGGGGTCTCCTCCAGTCCAGGAGCCTGGCTCTGATTCCCAGTTCTCCCTCTGGCTGCAATGACCCAGGGTCTTGGCTTGTCCCATCACTCAACACCGCTCATTTCCCCTTCCCAATCACCATGGGCTGGCACTGGGAGGTGATGATGATCGGGGTCACTTCTCCTCCTGTTCACCACCACCGGCACGGAGGTTGGGGTGCTCGGCCAGCGTCGCCCTCACTTTCTTCTTCTCCTTGAAGCGCCCCGAGTTGGAGACCTTGACGTGTTTGCCCTTGCTGCTCTTATCCACCAGCTTCTCCAGCCTCACCGCCAACCCTGGCGGCCCCTCCGGGCCCGGCCCTTCCTGGCTGTCACCGGCACCGGTACCGGTACCGGCCCCGAGGCTGTCGGGGCTCTCGTACAGCACCGTGGGTGCCGCTTGCCGCTTGCGCAGGAACGTCAGCTTCCACCAGCCGTGGCTCTCGGCCATCGCCGCTGCGCCCTGGGATGGGGATAGGGGATGGAATCCTGCTCCGGGTGTCCCTTGGCATTCCCAAGCCAAGGAGCGGGATGAATGAGGGATACAGGTTGCTGGTTTGGGCTGTGTTTGCCAAAGGCGGTTCTCCCGCTGGTTGTGCTCATAGGGGACACAGGGCAGGAGGTGCCGGGAGGGATGCTCCTGGGATTTGGGCATTGCCGAGCTCCACTGGGAGCTGCTGGATCAACCATGGGAGTGGATAGGGAGGGAGCCCAGTGAGCAAACAGGAACTGGGAAGCAGGTGGGAGCTGTGGAGGTGCTGGGGTCCCTGCCCCATGCCCGGCCCTGGCTGCATCCCGGAAGGCTCCAGCAATCCAGGAAGGCTCCAGTGCCAAGTGTGGCTCCAGGGCAGGGACCAGGGGAGGCGGCTCCCAAGCATAGAATCCAAACGGGATCCCCTGCAGGAAGGGGATTCCTAGCGCCCCATCCCTGGCTCCGTGACCCCATGGCCCTCAGCTCCTCCCGGATGGTGCCTTTGGCATCGCTTTCAGGTGCTGGGATAAGGGGACAAGGACACCAAGACTGCGACCACCACCCCAGTTGGACACCGGTGCCTCCAAGGGGGGCTCATGTGCTGTGTGTGTCCCCCCGTCAGCTCCATGCCCCATCCTGCCAGAGCCGGGTGGGATCTGTCACCAACCCATGCGCTGGGCATTGCCCCATCCCGCTCCCCACCATGGACACCCCATCCCCTGGTACCTGCAGCTCCCGGTGTGCGCTGCAGCCGCCCGGCTCCGGGGGTGCCGGGGTGGCTCCGGTTGGGATCTGTACCTGCCGCTGCCCCGTTGGCTGCCGGTCAAGGTGAACCCGCGACCCAACCCCTCCTGCGTGAGCAAACAGCGGGGGCCGGGCCAGGCCTGAATATTCATGACGGGGGAACCCGGGGCCGGCGCTGCCCGTGGTACCGGTTGCCCCTGCCCCGAGGGCCGGTGTGAGGCGGGCACACGGAGCGCTGCGGGCAACCGGGGGTTAAGGGCATGAGGCGGGAGCGGGCTCGGTGGGATCAGCCCGAACCAGCGGCTGCCAGACCGGTTCCTGCCTCCTCCCGCTGTCCGCACCCCCCCGCACATCCCATAGGGACACACACAGGGATCCCCCCCTCGGGGACCCGTGGGCATCCTAGGGTGGCTGCTCCCGGTGGGAACAGCACCAAGAGCATCCCTGAGGGATGTGGGATCTGCTTCAGGTTCTCCCCACGTCTGCTGCAAAGGGATCCCCAAGGGACGTGGGATCCCCTGAGGGGTGGCTGGGGATCCTTAAAGGATCCGGGATCTGCTCTGGGTCCCTCCCTGCAAAGGAATCCCCAAGGGACCCAGGATCCCATGAAGGGCATCTGGGGATCCCGGAGGGATCTGGGATCTGCTCTGGGTCCCTCCATGCAAAGGCATCCGCAAGGGACCCAGGAAGGGCATCTGTGGATCCCAGAGGGATCTGGGGCACCCTCTGCGGGTATCTGGGGATCCCTATAGGACCTGTGACCTGCTTGGGAGCCTCCCAGGTATCCAGACTCTGTGCTGGGGGACCCAGAGGTCTCTGGGATCTGCTTTGGATCATCCCCTGGGGATCCTCAAGGGACCCAGGATCCCCTGAGGAGCAGATGGGGACCCCATGGGGATCCCGGCTCTGTGCTGGGGTCCCTGAGGGATGCGGGATCTGCGCTGGGGGCACCCGGGGATTCCCATAGGGTCTGCCCCGGGATCAACCACAGGGATGCGCTGCACTGCGCACGCGCGCGCGGCCTGCTGCCTCCCTCCCCTCCCGATTGGTCAGCGCCGCCTCCTCCCCCTCCCGATCCCAGCCAACCGGGACGCCGGAACGCGGCTCTGTATCTATGCCGCTCCCTTCTGATTGTTCCAACGGGGCGGGGTCCTTTAGACGCAGCGCGTTTTGATTGGATGAAATACACGGCGGCGTGGGCAGGGATTGGCTGAGGCGAGGAGTGAAGTGGAGGGGGACAGCGGAACTGGAGCGGTGGCATCATGCAGGTAGGGACCTGGATCGGGATGGGGATCGGGATCGGGACCGGGACCGGGGACAAGGACGGGGACAACGGGGAAGGGGCCCTGGTCCATCCCCGGCCGCGCTCCATCCGCCGCCCCCCCCGCAGGTCTCTCCCCAGGACTACCAGAACGTGCCCATCGACATCCAGACCGGGAAGCTGCTGGGTACGGGCCCCCCCGGAGGGTGGGATGGGGTCGGGGGGCTCCGGTCACTCGTGTCCTCGGTACCGTGCTGGGGTGATCCCCCCCTTTCCCCTCCCAGCCCTTCCCGAGGCTTTACCCCTGTGTTGGGGATGGGGCACTGGGGAGCCTTGGGAGTGTGCCCCCCCCTCCAGTGCTGACCCCTGCACCGCAGACTGGCTGGTGGACAGGAGGCACTGCAACCTCAAATGGCAGAGCCAGGTCCTGGCCATCCGTGAGAAGATCAATGCGGCCATGCAGGACATGCCGGAGAACCAGGAGATAAAGGAGCTGCTGAATGGGGCCTGTGAGTACGGTCTGGGAATAGGGGGGGGTACCCCCCCTGACAGAGACCCCAGTGACCGCATCCCTCCCTCCATCCATCCCAGACCTGCACTACTTCCACTGCCTGCGGATCGTGGAGATCCTCAAGGGCACTGAGGCTTCCACCAAGAACCTCTTTGGGCGCTACTCATCGCAGCGCATGAAGGTGAGCGTGGACCATGGGGGCCTGGGGTGATGGGGTTCACTCATCCTCACCTTCTCCTTCCTCCTCAGGACTGGCAGGAGATCGTGGCCCTCTATGAGAAGGAGAACACCTACCTGGGTGAGGCAGCTCCAGAGGGAACCCTTTGGAGGGGGTCAATGGGTGGCTTTCAGTCTCCAAACTGGGATGAAGATGGGGTGCGCAGGGGATAGGGGCAGGATGCGCTGGGCTGCCAAGTGCCATGCGTGGCTGGGAAAGCAGCCGAGGTGGCTGCAGCACCCTGAGCACCTCCTGGGTGTCTGGCCCTGGTTCTCACCCCTGTTTTCCCCCATTCCCTGCCATACAGCTGAGCTCGCCAGCCTCCTGGTGCGCAGCATCAGCTACGAGATCCCATCGCTGCGGAAGCAGATCGGCCGGTGCCAGCAGGCGCAGCAGGACTTTGTGCGCCGCGAGGAGGAATGCCAGCTGGGAGCAGCGGAGCTGCGGGAACGCTTCTGCTCCTCCTGCAAGCAGTATGGCATCACTGTGAGTGACCCCGCTCCTCAGGGGGTCCCTGTGGAGCTGAGGGTGACCCCGCAATCATAGAATGGTTTGGGTTGGGAAGGACCTTAAGATGATCAAGTTCCAACCCCCTGCCATGGGCAGGGACACCTCACTCTAAACCATGGCAACCAAGGCTTCATCCAACCTGGCCTTGCACACTGCCAGGGATGGAGCATTCACAACCTCCCTGGGCACCCCATTCCAATGCCTCACCACCCTAACAGGAAAGAATTCCCTCCTTAGATCCAATCTAAATGCTCAGCCCCATGCAAGGAGAGGGGGAAGGCAGCACAGGGACGCTTGGGTCGCTCTGTCCCCAGGGTGACAACGTGCGCCAGGAGCTGCTGGCCTTGGTGAAGGACCTGCCATCACTGCTATGTGAGGTCGGGGCAGGAGCCAGCGCGCTCGCCGAGGCCATCGAGCTGTACCAGGCCTGCGTGGAGTTCGTGTGCGAGAGGTGGGTTTGGGGGTGCAGGGACACCTTCCCCATGGGGCTCACCCTGAGGGTCCCCCGGTGGGGTTTTGGGGGTGCTGGGCACTGATGTCCCCCAATGGGGGCCGCCAGCCCTGCAGAGCGGGTGCTGCCCCTGCTGCGGTTCGTGGGGAGCAGAGGCAACGCCACCGTGTACGAGTGGAGGACGGGGCTGCGGCCGCTGCGTGTGGAGCGCCCGGAGCTGCAGGAGGAGCCGGAGCAGCCCAAGGAGGACTCGGTGCGTCCCTGGGGGGCTGTGGGGAGAGCCCCATCCGCTCTGCCCCCATTGGGGTCTCAGGGGCTTTCTTATCCTTCTCCCCATAGATCGACTGGGGAGACTTCACCCTGGAGCCGGCTGCGGTGGGTGATGGTGCCGCTGCCGATGGGATCGACTGGGGCATCACCGTAGAGCCCGGGCCTCAGGTGTGATTTGTGCTCCTGGGGTCTGGCCCTGCTCCAGGGCTGGGATGGGGAATTGGGGTGTCCCTGGCTCCCCCACCTCACACAGTGCTTGTCTTGCAGCAGGATGATGGCATTGACTGGGGAGACGGGGAGAGCCAGGAGGTGCAGATCACGGTGCTGGAGGCTGGCACTGAGGGTGAGTGTGGCTGCAAAGGGACATGGAGGGTCCAAGTAACAGGATCCCAGGGTGGTTTGGGTTGAAGGGACCTTAAAGCTCATCCAGCTCCACAGGCAGGGACCCTTCCACTGGAGCAGCTTGCTCCAAGCCCCTGTGTCTTGAACACTGCCAGGGATGGGGCAGCCCCAGCTTCTCTGGGCACCCTGTGCCAGCGCCTCAGCACCCTCACAGGGAAGAGCTTCTGCCTTGTATCCAACCTGAACTTCCCCTGTTTCAGTTTAAACCCACCCCTCCTTGTCCTATAGCTGCCCCCCTGCCTTCACTCCCCATACAGGCCCCTGACCCCACTAAACAGTGCTATGGGGTGATGCTGTATGGGACAAGCTGGGGTGTGGGGTGTCTGAGCCATGGAGCTGCTCATCCCCAGTGCCCGAGGGGGTTGCCTGCGGCTCCGATGCCCTGACGCTGCTGGAACACACCGATACCCGGAGCCAGTTCATCGACGAGCTCATGGAGGTGAGGATGCTGCAGGAGCTGGGTAAGGAGCATCACGATCCCATAGTGCAGTGTTCCCCCCACAACCCCTGTCCCCACAGCTGGAGCTGTTCCTGTCCCAGCGCCTGGAGGAGATGGAGGAAGAGGCCGACATCGTGGCCATGACCCAGTTCCAACTGGCCCCCGCTGTGCTCCAAGGCCAAACCAGTGCCCATGTGAGCTCGCTGCTGGCCACCACGCGGGCTCTGCTGGGCCAGCTCTGCACCCGCAGCATGCAGCATCTCTTCATGATCCTCGCCTCGCCCAGGTCCTCGATGGGGCCATAGGGCTCTGTGGGAGGTGTCCTATGGTGGGGCTGGGGCTGATGGGGTCCTGCTGTCCCCTGCAGGTACGTGGACCGTGTCAGTGAGCTCCTGCGGCAGAAGCTGAAGCAGGCGGAGCTGCTGCTGGCCAAGAAGGAGCTGATGGGCCAGAAGAGGCGGGAGGCACTGGCGGAGCAGGGGGCACTGGAGCCCAAGCTGGACCGGCTGATGGAGAGGACCAAGGAGCTGCAGAAGCTGGTGAGGAAAGGAGACCCAATAGGGCCCCCCCTTTGTCCCCCACAGCCATTCATCCCTCTCTGCCTCTGTCTTGCAGATTGAAGCCGACATCTCCAAGCGTTACAATGGGCGCCCAGTGAACCTGATGGGCATCTCCCTGTGAGAGAGGGGCAGAGGGGGTCCTGCTCCCCAAACCACCCCCCTCTCCCACCCCATTCACAGCCTTGGGATGCTGGTAATGTGTCTATGGCCTCATTGAGGGGGTGAATGTTGTTGAATAAAGCCAAGACCCTTTTCCCACCCATTGCTCTTTGCATCCCTCTGTGCATCCCTTTGTCCCTCCATCCACCCCTGCATCCTTTCCCACATCCCTCCATCCCTGTTTGCATCCCTTTGTCCCTCCACTCCCCTCGCCCCCTCTCAGCTGATTTTTGAGGTGCAGAACCCGTCTCCAAGGTCTCCAGGGACCAGCTCCTCCCACCCCCCCTGAGCCCCCCCGGCTCCTCCTGGGCTCTCACAGCCATGGGGTCAGCATGGCCATGGGGCTCCATGGGGCTGGCAGGCTGCTGTGGGGTGGCCAGCAGGGATGTGGGGTGCCCCCCGGTGTGCCGGAGCCCCCGTTATCCCTGTGTCACTGTGCACTGCCCGGGATGGGGATGGGGGACCGGGGCCTGGGGTGGGTGTTGGGGACCGGGGAGGGGGCGCTCCCCAGTTCCGCCTGCAGGTGGCGATGCAGGACAGCGGATACGTAGTCCCCGTAGGGGCGGGGCTAGGGTGGGTTGGGCGTGGCCATGCGCCATATAAGGAGTGCGCCACGGCGAGGGGTGTGGCTATGCAAATAAGGCATCCGCCGCGCCCAGGGAGCGTCGAGCGGCGGCAGTGGGAGGGAGCGGTGATGGAACCGGGATGGAACCGGGATGGAACCGGGATGGAACCGGGATGGAACCTCCATTATCCCACCCCAACAAACCCCGCTGTGGGTGTGCAGCCTTGGAGGGGCGATCGCTTGGAGGGCTGCAGGACCCCAGACAAACGTTCACGCGTTCAGCTTCTCCCCTGACAGCTGAGAGGTGATTCCCTAGCTTGGGAACGGGGCTGACTGGGAACAGGAGCAGGGATGTGGGAATGATTCAGGACCCCCCAAGACAACCGCTGCCTCTCCAGCACAAGCTCAGCTCCCAAGCACCAGAGGGGGAAGCTGCCACCAGGCAGAGCAAACGGAGCTGCAGGGGCGAGGGATGGACAGAGCCACCCTGCCTGGGTACCCCCCCATGGCCCTGCGCTGCTGCTCACCCCCAAAGCCCACCCTGAGACCAAAAGGGCTCTGTTTAATGGAGGTCTCCCACTGGAGTCTGGACTCTGCTTTCTTCCTGCTATTGGAAAGCCAAGATGAAGAATCACAGGCACTGGGTGGTGCAGAAAGCCCCACACGGGCTCCTGCTTAGCAGGCAGATCCCTCATCTGAAGAGCAGGAGGGACCACAGCATCTCCGCACAGCCCAGGACCCCGAGCCCGCAGCAGGACTCACACACAGAGCTCATGTCTGTGTTCAGGTTCTTGCAGGGAGCGAATGGAGGCTTCCCTCCTCTCCCACCTCCCCAGGCATAGAGAACCCCTGCCTGGCTGCAGGGGCGCAGCCACCCTCCATGGAGATGCTGGATGTCAGACAGGAGCACCACGATCTGCACCACCCCGTGCATACAGAGAGGAGCACCATGGGGTGCCCACACTGCCAAGGGGTCCCAACGACAGCTCCATTGGCACCTCCCAGCCAGCATCCTCCAAGGCAGACTGGAGCAGTGCATCCTGTCCCTCCATCCGGCCCTCACCAATGCTCCGCTCCTGCCCCTGAAATCCCTGGGGCTCCATTCCAGGACTGAAAAGGAGCCTTCAAGGGGAGGTGGGGATGGCCAAACCAGGAAATGAAAAGGCAGGCACGCAGGAAACGGAGCCAGAACCTGTATCATTACCTGGGATGCTTTGCATTTCAGATGGGCTTCTCAGAAAATTACCGCTTCCAGAGCGGCATCCTCCAGACCCGAGGCAGTGCAGGACCAGTATAAAAACCATCGCAGCTCTTGACTCTCTCATCCGCTCCTCTCAGCTTCTTCTCCTTCAGCAGCAAGTGAGTTGGGGTGTCCTGTCCTGGGAATGGAAGTGGGGAGAAGGTTTGGTGTGGAGAGGGGCTGGGTTAGGGCTGAGCGGACTCTTGGGCTCTTGGCTTGGAAAGAGCTCCCCTGGGGCTGGTTCTTGGTGATGGAAAGGCTGCTGCTGCTTCCAGAGCAGGTCGTTCCTCCCCGTGTGTCTGAGCTGAGCGGGGCTGTGGTAGCGCAGGGCTGGGAGCTGCTTGTGCTGGGAGAGGGAAGGGGAGAGAAGGGCTTGTGCAGAGAGAGGCTGGGACTGAGCTGAGCTGGCTGCTGGGCTTGGAGGTGCTCAGCGTGTGCTGGGCCGGGAGGTGCCTTGGCTTGCCCAGGCTTGGGTGCAGAGCTGCTGCTCCCGTGTCCCATCCTCTGCTTGCCCCTGCCCTGTGTCCAGGTGAAGCTCCAGCATCCAGACATGTCCTGCTGCAACCCGTGCGTGCCCTGCCAGCCCTGCGGCCCGACCCCGCTGGCCAACAGCTGCAATGAGTGCTGTGTCAGGCAGTGCCAGAGCTCCACCGTCGTCATTGAGCCTTCCCCCGTGGTGGTGACCCTGCCCGGCCCCATCCTCAGCTCCTTCCCTCAGAACACCGTTGTGGGCTCCTCCACCTCCGCTGCCGTTGGCAGCATCCTCAGCTGTGAGGGAGTGCCCATCAACTCCGGGGGCTTCGACCTCTCCTGCATCACCAACCGCTACTGCGGCACCAGCTGCAGACCCTGCTAAAGCTGCTGCAGGTGCCCCACTGAAGGACACCAGGAACCCAGGAGATGGTAATGGACTGAGCACGGACATCCCGGCCATTGCTCTCAGCGGCACTGAGCATCCATGGCTCCACCTGCAAACGAAGGCAGCAAGAGGCATGCCTGGAAACGTGGCCCTTTGTAACTTACCTGTTCTCTCCCTCTTCTTCCTCTCCCCCTTTTCTCTGTTGTCTTCTGCTCCCTGGGCTGCAATGACCTGCTAAGCCCCATCAGAGGTGAGATCTGCTGCCCCTCTTCCTCTCAGGCCAGGCAGACACCTGGTGCAAAGTCCAGCCTGGCCAAGGGACATAGACTCCAAGGTCCCCTGGTGTTCCCTGCACCATGGCCCTGCTCAGAGGAGCTCCTTTCCCTCTTACAACTCATTAAAGTTCTGCTGCATCCCAGCCTTGGCTTCTGTGTGCTCCTTCTGTCTCTGGATGCAATCCCCAGCTGCCGGAGAGAGCAGCATCGCTTTGGGGGGATCTTGCAGGCACAAAGGAGATGCATGGCATTCCCGGAGGAAGGGAAGGGTGACACTGAGGGAGATGTCCCTGGCTCCTATAGGGTCAGCAACCATCAACTTGCTCCTTTCCCGCACACAAACCTCCTCAGCCTTTGGGAAAGGGATGGGTAGAGTCTTGTCTTCCACCCCCATTGCTCACCACACATCTCCCATCCTTTGCCAAGTGCTTTCTGCAGCAGATAGCTCCAGTTGTGCCAGAGCATCACCAATGCCCTCTTCCCCCTCCAGCACTGGCACTCAAGTGCCCTGCCTGACCCCGTGTGCCACCAGCTCCTGCCAGGACAAAGCCTTCTCCAAACCTGAGCCCGAAAGTTGGACTTAAACACTCCAGGGGATGCCTGGGATCCCAACCTCTGCCCCAGGGAGCCTTTCTCCTCCCATTGCCCAGCAGTTAAAGCACTTGCTTGGTCAAACCAGCTTGTGAGCTGCCAGGCTCATGGGGAGCCATGCACCTACATAGGCAGCTAGGACCCTAGATAGGCAGGTAGGAACCTACAGGCACTGCAGAGCTGGATTGGCAGTGCTCAGGCAGCACAGAGCCCTCACAAGCCATCCCCAGCAAGGCAAAAGGCTCCTTGGTGAAGTGCTGTGGCCTCCCAATGCACAAAGAGTCCACAATGGGTTTCTCTGGGAAGGAGCTGAGGATGGGGCTGGCTCAATGACAACCACACAGCGCTGGCACTGCATCATACAAGGCTCATTGGAGCTGGTGGGCAGCAGGGCTCTCTACACTGGTCACAGCAGGATGTGTCCCTTGAGAGAGGATGGGTTGGTACCCACTGTGAGAGGAGGCAGGGGCTATAGAGCAAAGAGCATCTAATTCCTTGCCTTCGGATCTCAAGGACCCTGCAAAGAGCATCCAGGCCCAAGAAGGCTTCTGTCTAGTCCGGAGCTCAGAATCCACGTCATGGAACCCTCAGGATCCCTTCATACCAGAGCTTTTCTCCACTTCCCACTTTCATTACAGGCAGCCCCATGCCTCATCACAGCACTGAGCTGAGATGTTCATTCAGGCAAGACCACATCCTGAAGGAAGAGGCCACAGGTTCGAACTCTCCTGTTCCACAAGGAGTGAAGTAGATGAGTTAAGAACGGTCCTGGTCCTGCACTGCTCCAGGCCTAGAGAAATCCTTTATGGAAGCAATAATTTCCTGGAAGGCTCATCCTTGCAATACATGCCAGCTAATGGCATGACTTGTGTTTGAGATTCCTGCCCTATTATCTTTTAATTCCCATGTTTATACCATGTTCGCTCCCCTATGGATATTTGCTTCGAGGGGTGATGAGAATGCCAGGAATTCCCAGGGCAGGATTATGTCATTGCTGTCATAGCATGGATCCAAAGTGCTGCAGGGTTCCCTTGCAGGCTGGAGGCACTGTTGTGGGGCACTCCTATGGGGTTGTTTTCAGTGCAGTTGGCAGGGAAAGCCAAGCTCCTTCCAGTCCTGCAGTCCTTGACCAGCCATGTGTGAGGACAGGTTGGATGGGGTCAGGCAGCATGGTCTATAGTTAGGATAATACAGAAAGGGGGATGCAGTAACCAAACCCACAAGCTTGATGGAGAAGGGGTAACAATAACCAAGCCTAAAAGTCTCCCAGAGCAAATTGATGAGCAGGCATAGCTTTGGGGAAAGGCCACCTGGCCTTTGCAACTGATAAGAAGGGGAAAATGGGATGAACATAAGGATTTGGGAAACTCAAGGCGAGCCTATGGGACTAACAAACAAATATCCTTTACTACTGCCCTGCTTCTCTCTGTATTTGGCTAAGGATGGGAATGTTGATAGGACCAAAGGCTTTAGTCCCTGGGTGCCAGAGTGTGTGGAAGGGTTAGGGTAAGTGCCTGAAGCTGCTCTCACCACCGGTAGCTGTAGCGTTGTATTGGAACAGGCTGCATCCCTGCCACTGAGAGAGGGGTGCCCAGTGAAAACCAGCAGGTTTCAGCACTCTACTGGGGCTTGAGCTGTGCCTATCAAGCTGCGCATGGGGTGGCCCCACAGCTCCCTAAAGTCTGCTTTGACCTCCGGCTTCTTCAGAGACCTCTCTGCCCTGGGCTGTCCTCCTGTCCTTCCCTGCATCTGCTTTCATCCCACCTTCCCTCATCAGCCTGCTCTTCATCCCTCTGTTTCTGTCCTTTCAACTCCCTCTGTATGATGCTGACATCCTCTGGGAACTCTTCTTCTTGTCATCTCTGATAGTTCCTGACTGCTTCTGGTCAAACAGACCCATCTGACCTGCTGCTGTTAGCTTTTGCCTTTAAAAAGAAGTGGTTTCATGTTTGGTTTCTTTGCAAACAGGCTCAGATGCACAACCATGATCTGTTGTATTCACAGGCAGTGGGGACTCCACTTTGGGACTGGGACCGGCACTCACTCATGAACTACCTCAGCCCTGCATGTCTGGCTCTGAAGGACTGTGTGAGGTCCCATCTCCCTGTGCCTCTGTGTGCTAGCCATGGACCCTACACCAGGCGATGCAATGGAGGAGAAGGCAGAGGTGAAGCTGGCCCCAGGTATTAGCATCTCCTTATCCTTACTCCTGCCACACTTTGGAGCCATCCTCTTCTTGAAGGTGCTCCAGGGCCAGCGCTCCAGGCCCATATGGGAAGGGATAGAGCAAGGCTGCAAGGACTGATGGTCATTTGCTGTGCAGCAGTCAGGGATGTCTTCCTCAGCTCCAAGGGACACAGCACAGGAGGTAACCCAGTGCAGTGAGTCCTACCCTCTCTTCCTCTGGGAATGAGGAAAAGTCATCATTGAACCAACATAAATTGTCTCCAGGAAGGCACCTTTTCCCCTGAGCAGAGGGGAAGAGTTCCCATGGAAGGAAGGAGGACTCGGAGACCCAGGCTTGGATGCAGCACAACTTTAATGAGGGTAAAGAAGAAAAGGAGGTGGCTCCCAGGGAGCACCAGGGGCAGGCACCAAGATGCGGTGCAGCTCCTGCAGGGTGTCCGCCTGCCTGTCCCTCACAGGGAGGGAGGGAGGCCAAGAGGTCCCCACTGGGCTGGTGCAGGAGGTGGAGACAGGAAAGGAATGGAGAGGAGAGTGGGAGAAGGAAACAGCGCCGCGAAGCTCTATCTCCTGTCCAGATCCATGGTGGGAGGTGGTGGAGGTCCTTGCCCGAGGATGCTGGCAGCAGCTTTAGCAGGGTCTGCACCTGGTGCCGCAGTAGCGGTTGGTGATGCAGGAGAGGTCGAAGCCCCCGGAGTTGATGGGCACTCCCTCACAGCTGAGGATGCTGCCAACGGCAGCGGAGGTGGAGGAGCCCACAACGGTGTTCTGAGGGAAGGAGCTGAGGATGGGGCCGGGCAGGGTCACCACCACGGGGGAAGGCTCAATGACGACGGTGGAGCTCTGGCACTGCCTGACACAGCACTCATTGCAGCTGTTGGCCAGCGGGGTCGGGCCGCAGGGCTGGCAGGGCACGCACGGGTTGCAGCAGGACATGTCTGGATGCTGGAGCTTCACCTGGACACAGGGCAGGGGCAAGCAGAGGATGGGACACGGGAGCAGCAGCTCTGCACCCAAGCCTGGGCAAGCCAAGGCACCTCCCGGCCCAGCACACGCTGAGCACCTCCAAGCCCAGCAGCCAGCTCAGCTCAGTCCCAGCCTCTCTCTGCACAAGCCCTTCTCTCCCCTTCCCTCTCCCACCACAAGCAGCTCCCAGCCCTGCGCTACCACAGCCCCGCTCAGCTCAGACACACGGGGAGGAACGACCTGCTCTGGAAGCAGCAGCACAAGAGGCTTCGCACTCACCTGATTCCCAGCAGAAGGAGGCGAGAGAAGTGGATGAGGAGCAGAGACCTGGGCTGCCTTTTATAGTGGCCCTGCAGTGCCTCAGGCCCACAGGCACCTTTGTGGCAGCAGGAATTTCCTGGCAAGCCCATGGCAAATGCAAACCCTCCCAGGTAATGGCAGGGGCCGTGTCCCGGTTTCCGGCACTGCTGCCTTTTAATTTCCTGGCTCATGTGCTTTGCCATAGGAAGGCTTCTGTCAGTGCCGGGATGAGGAGCCCAAGGGTTTCCAGGCAGAACCACGTGAGCGCAGCAGAAGCCTCCCATCAAGGGCTGGTGCATCCCGTGCAGGCAGGGGATGTGCTCCTGGCTCATTCCTGTGGGCTTGCTTGTGGCCACACTGTGGGAAATGGGCCCCGCTCTGCTGCTTCTGTCCACGTGCGCGAGGAGCCCCATGGACAGGACACGGCAGAGGTGCCCAGGGCACCAAAACGCAGCCTCTGCCCTCTGCAGCCTCCATTTCTTGCCTCGGGTACAGGAGAAGCCCCATGAAAGCCTCCCCATCCATGCAGACCCGGACCCTCAAGCAGTCCCCGTCTGATGCAGGGATGCTGGTGACTGGGATGGGACGCAGGCTCCTCATGGCCAGGCCATCGCCAGATGCCCTCTGCAGCTCCTCTGCCTGGTGCTGAGTGAGGAGGGCTCTGAGCCCTTGCACCAAACAGGGATTGAACCGCAGGGACAGGGCTGCAGGTGCTGATGTGCTCTGAGATGCAGGACAGGCTCCCTGGGTCTCAGGGGCAGGCTCAGAGCTTTGAGGCCAACTCCGGTGGGGATCCAGCACCAGGACTTCCCTATCCCCCATCAGGAGCAGTCTGAGGAGCTCCCGGCTGCGGCTGGGAAGGCCGGGAATTGTGACTGAGGGTGAACCAAGCCAACCCTGTGCTTTGTCATGGGCACATCAGGCAAATCCCTCTTCACACACATAGAAACCTGTGCCACGAGCGCCCCGTCCCCATCCCGCTGGGTGCGGAAAGGTGGAGCCGGGAATGGAGGAGGGAGTTGAGTGTGTGAGAACGAGGAGGGATGGGGCGAAGGCGTTTGAAGGGGTTTTGCCCGTTTCTCAGCACCCGGAGCTGTTTCTCACTGTCAGCTCATGAAAGGAACCTTCCCCAAGTCAAGTCCGTGGCACCCGATGCAGTTGGCAATAATCCCTCTGCCTGTATCTCAGCCCACGACCTTTTCACCTGACTTTCTCCTCCTGTCCTGCTGGGGAAGCAGAAGCAGGCAGCAGCAGGGTGGCTCTGGGAGCCAGCCACGCTCCTCTGGGTGCTGCCCCAGTTCCTGCAATGAGAAGTGCCAGCAGGGTTTGTCATTCCCATGGGCTCTCCCTGCTTTCTCTCTGGGCCACCCGCAGCTCTCCCTTGCTCCTGCTGCTGTTTCCCTCAGAGGACCGCGGGCACTGATCTCAGGTGCTCTTTGCACTCGTGGACCCGGGCACCAGGTGCAGGTCCCAGCCATGGGCAGAGCCGAGCCCAGCATCGCTCCTGGCACAGCCTCACATGGGCGAGTTCAAGCCCAGGAGCCTGGCGGGCAGGAGGCTGTGAAGGGGATGCCCTGTGCTGGTGCCTTGCTTCCTGCTGCTCTTCCTGACCCTGCGGGCACAGCTCCCACATCAGAACCAGTGACACAGAAGAAGCCCTCGCTCCCTCGGGCATCCCAGCCCTCCTCCATCTGCCTCTCTTTGCCCAGGCACCCGTCCTTCGGGGCCGCTCTCTCCGGCCCATTCCCTCTCAACGCTGCCCTGCTGGGAGCACAAGGGGAACATCTCCGGGCAGAGCTGCAGCGAGGGAAGGGCTCGCAGCCAGGGGCTGTGGGGGAGCCACAGGGGTCGATCTCAGCTCTGAGGGGCACTGTCTGAAGGAGGCCACAGCAGCGTGTCCTGCCCTCCTGTCCCCCTGCAATGGGGCAGGCTCCACTTGCAAACACGTTTGTTTCCTCGGGGCAGATCTCGTTTCTTCTGCACAGCTTTAGAGAGCCAAGGAGCACACAGAGCCAGAGGCTGCGATGCAACAGAGTTTAATGAGTCCGAAGAGGGAGGCAAGAAGTCTGGAGAGGAGGTCACAGTGAAAGGATCTCAATGGGCAGCCGGGAGTCAGTGCCCAGGGATGGATGGGGCTGGGCAGGTCCCCCCTAAGCAGCATCAAGGCTGCAGGGAGCAGAAAGCGAGAAAGGCAAAGGAGGGAAAGCACAGAGTGGAGGAAGGGAATGCGAGGCAGTGGCCATGTTTGCAGGGAACCCAGGCTGGCCCCTTGCCCGGGGCTGACTCCCTTTGCAGGAGGAGGGGGGCACGCTCAGCCCCTCTCCAAGGCACGGCCGCAGTCTCCGTCGTTCAGGCGGGCGTCATCTGCTGGGGTCGCGGGGCTCCTTGGCTGGGCTGGCACCGGTGGCTTTAGCAGGGTCTGCAGCTGGTGCCGCAGTAGCGGTTGGTGATGCAGGAGAGGTCGAAGCCCCCGGAGTTGATGGGCACTCCCTCACAGCTGAGGATGCTGCCAACGGCAGCGGAGGTGGAGGAGCCCACAACGGTGTTCTGAGGGGAGGAGCTGAGGATGGGGCCGGGCAGGGTCACCACCACGGGGGAGGGCTGGATGACGACGGTGGAGCTCTGGCACTGCCTGACACAGCACTCATTGCAGCTGTTGGCCAGCGGGGTCGGGCCGCAGGGCTGGCAGGGCCGGCAGGGCTGGCAGGGCTCGCACGTCTGGCACTTCTCAGGGCAGGACATGGCTCGGGGCTGCAGCTTCACCTGGAGAGAGGGCAGGGAGGGAGCAGAGCACAGGGACCCGTGAGGAACAGCCTGCAGAGACACCCAAGGGAGCACAAGGCACCTCTCGTGTGGGGAGCTGGGGCTGTGCAGGGGAACGAGGGATCCTTTGCCTGAGCCCTGCCAGACCTTCACAGAGCATCCTAGCCCCAGTCTGCAGCCAAAGAGCCACCCCAGCCCATCCCCAGACTCTCTGCATGACAGACCGTCTCTGCTCGGCCCTCTCCCACTGCCACCATCCCAGAGCACTAACACAGCACCAAGGAGCAGCTATCAGCTGAGATGTCCTTGCAGGCTGCACCCTGCCCCATAGGAGGAGTGGGTGAGAATGGGGGCTCCAGCTCACCTGGTTCCCAAGAGGAGGCTGGTGGCAGAAGAGCTTGAGAGAGTGACCCGTTGGGCTGGCTTTTATACTGACCCCGCAGCACCTCGGCACAAAGGCAGGCACTGCACAGGCAACGATTGTCCTGCACGTTCCTGATGAACGGAAACATGGCAGGTAATGACATGGGACGTGCTGCTGATTCCCTCTATGCTGCCGTTGCACTTCCTCCTTTACGTCATGCCTGTGCCCTCAAAAATGTTTCTTTTGAGCACTGGGATGAGCGGTGCCGTGATTTCCAGGACAAGAGTGCGTCAGTGTGGGCAGAAGACACAAATTGCCAGAGGGGCCCATTGCAGGCCGGTGGTGTCAGCCTGGCCTCACCGGGTGGGTTTTGTGTGAGCCCGCTGAGAGGAAGCGCCCCAGCTGCTTCCAGCCCTCCCATCCTTGATTCTTCCCCAAAGGCTCCTCTGAGTCAGTGCCTTGTCCTCTCTTTCCTTCCATCCCGTTACCTGAGGGGACACGGACAGGGTCACAGCACTCAGGTCTCCGTCAGGAGATCCCCAAACCCAAGCCAATCCTTTCCGTGCTGCCTCCAGGCTGCCTCAAGAGGCTGAGCTGCTTCCCAGGACTCACGTGAAAACTTTGGCAGTCCAGGGATCTACTGTGCTGGTGGGGATGGGGGAGCCCTTTGCCATGACTGGCCCATGTCCAGAGCCGGGAGCTATGGGAAAAGGAATGGGAACCTAGGGAGGCTGGGAGGAGGAAGGAGGTGAACATCAGGGCTGCAGCCAACGGCCCCGAAACAGCTTCTGAGAGGATGATCTGTGCACTGCTGCCACCTACCCAGCCATCCTCCAGCTGTAAATGACGGGGTGCTGCCCAGAAAGGGGGTCTTTGAGCAGTGGGTGCTTTCCTGGAGCTGTGGAAGGCAGCAGGGTCCTGGCATCTCTGGCAAAGCCCAGTGTGCTGATTTCAGCTGGGACACTTTAATTCTCTTCCTAGCAGCTGATGCAGTGCTGAGCTTTGGCTTCAGCCTGAGAATAACCCTGGTAACTCACTGATGGTTTAGCTGTTGCTCAGCAGCTCTTACACTGACCATGGACTCTTCAGTCTTTCGTGCTCTGTCAGTGAGGAGGGGCAGAGGAAGCCAGGAGGGAACAGAGACAGGACTTCACCCAAACTAGCCAAAGCGATATTCCTAACCATGTCATGCTGGGATAGCAACTGTGGGGAGTGAGCGGGAAGGGACCGATCACTGCTTGGGCCGTGCTGGGTATCAGTCAGTGGAGGCTGGGGAATTGCATTGAGCATCACTTGTGTTTTGTCAGCTGGGGCGCTTCCTCTCAGCGGGCTCACACAAAACCCACCCGGTGAGGCCAGGCTGACACCACCGGCCTGCAATGGACCCCTCTGGCACTTACTTTGTGTCTTCTGCCCACATTGACGCACTCTTGTCCTGGAAATCACGGCACCGCTCATCCCAGTGCTCAAAAGAAACATTTTTGAGGGCACAGGCATGACGTAAAGGAGGAAGTGCAACGGCAGCATAGAGGGAATCAGCAGCACGTCCCATGTCATTACCTGCCATGTTTCCGTTCATCAGGAACGTGCAGGACAATCGTTGCCTGTGCAGTGCCTGCCTTTGTGCCTGAGGCGCTGCGGGGTCAGTATAAAAGCCAGCCCAACGGGTCACTCTCTCAAGCTCTTCTGCCACCAGCCTCCTCTTGGGAACCAGGTGAGCTGGAGCCCCCATTCTCACCCACTCCTCCTATGGGGCAGGGTGCAGCCTGCAAGGACATCTCAGCTGATAGCTGCTCCTTGGTGCTGTGTTAGTGCTCTGGGATGGTGGCAGTGGGAGAGGGCCGAGCAGAGACGGTCTGTCATGCAGAGAGTCTGGGGATGGGCTGGGGTGGCTCTTTGGCTGCAGACTGGTGCTAGGATGCTCTGTGAAGGTCTGGCAGGGCTCAGGCAAAGGATCCCTCGTTCCCCTGCACAGCCCCAGCTCCCCACACGAGAGGTGCCTTGTGCTCCCTTGGGTGTCTCTGCAGGCTGTTCCTCACGGGTCCCTGTGCTCTGCTCCCTCCCTGCCCTCTCTCCAGGTGAAGCTGCAGCCCCGAGCCATGTCCTGCCCTGAGAAGTGCCAGACGTGCGAGCCCTGCCAGCCCTGCCGGCCCTGCCAGCCCTGCGGCCCGACCCCGCTGGCCAACAGCTGCAATGAGTGCTGTGTCAGGCAGTGCCAGAGCTCCACCGTCGTCATTGAGCCTTCCCCCGTGGTGGTGACCCTGCCCGGCCCCATCCTCAGCTCCTCCCCTCAGAACACCGTTGTGGGCTCCTCCACCTCCGCTGCCGTTGGCAGCATCCTCAGCTGTGAGGGAGTGCCCATCAACTCCGGGGGCTTCGACCTCTCCTGCATCACCAACCGCTACTGCGGCACCAGGTGCAGACCCTGCTAAAGCCACCGGTGCCAGCCCAGCCAAGGAGCCCCGCGACCCCAGCAGATGACGCCCGCCTGAACGACGGAGACTGCGGCCGTGCCTTGGAGAGGGGCTGAGCGTGCCCCCCTCCTCCTGCAAAGGGAGTCAGCCCCGGGCAAGGGGCCAGCCTGGGTTCCCTGCAAACATGGCCACTGCCTCGCATTCCCTTCCTCCACTCTGTGCTTTCCCTCCTTTGCCTTTCTCGCTTTCTGCTCCCTGCAGCCCTTGATTGCTGCTTAGGGGGGACCTGCCCAGCCCCATCCATCCCTGGGCACTGACTCCCGGCTGCCCATTGAGATCCTTTCACTGTGACCTCCTCTCCAGACTTCTTGCCTCCCTCTTCGGACTCATTAAACTCTGTTGCATCGCAGCCTCTGGCTCTGTGTGCTCCTTGGCTCTCTAAAGCTGTGCAGAAGAAACGAGATCTGCCCCGAGGAAACAAACGTGTTTGCAAGTGGAGCCTGCCCCATTGCAGGGGGACAGGAGGGCAGGACACGCTGCTGTGGCCTCCTTCAGACAGTGCCCCTCAGAGCTGAGATCGACCCCTGTGGCTCCCCCACAGCCCCTGGCTGCGAGCCCTTCCCTCGCTGCATCTCTGCCCGGAGATGTTCCCCTTGTGCTCCCAGCAGGGCAGCGTTGAGAGGGAATGGGCCGGAGAGAGCGGCCCCGAAGGACGGGTGCCTGGGCAAAGAGAGGCAGATGGAGGAGGGCTGGGATGCCCGAGGGAGCGAGGGCTTCTTCTCTGTCACTGGTTCTGATGTGGGAGCTGTGCCCGCAGGGTCAGGAAGAGCAGCAGGAAGCAAGGCACCAGCACAGGGCATCCCCTTCACAGCCTCCTGCCCGCCAGGCTCCTGGGCTTGAACTCGCCCATGTGAGGCTGTGCCAGGAGCGATGCTGGGCTCGGCTCTGCCCATGGCTGGGACCTGCACCTGGTGCCCGGGTCCACGAGTGCAAAGAGCACCTGAGATCAGTGCCCGCGGTCCTCTGAGGGAAACAGCAGCAGGAGCAAGGGAGAGCTGCGGGTGGCCCAGAGAGAAAGCAGGGAGAGCCCATGGGAATGACAAACCCTGCTGGCACTTCTCATTGCAGGAACTGGGGCAGCACCCAGAGGAGCGTGGCTGGCTCCCAGAGCCACCCTGCTGCTGCCTGCTTCTGCTTCCCCAGCAGGACAGGAGGAGAAAGTCAGGTGAAAAGGTCGTGGGCTGAGATACAGGCAGAGGGATTATTGCCAACTGCATCGGGTGCCACGGACTTGACTTGGGGAAGGTTCCTTTCATGAGCTGACAGTGAGAAACAGCTCCGGGTGCTGAGAAACGGGCAAAACCCCTTCAAACGCCTTCGCCCCATCCCTCCTCGTTCTCACACACTCAACTCCCTCCTCCATTCCCGGCTCCACCTTTCCGCACCCAGCGGGATGGGGACGGGGCGCTTGTGGCACAAGTTCCTATGTGTGTGAAGAGGGATTTGCCTGATGTGCCCATGACAAAGCACAGGGTTGGCTTGGTTCACCCTCAGTCACAATTCCCGGCCTTCCCAGCCGCAGCCGGGAGCTCCTCAGACTGCTCCTGATGGGGGATAGGGAAGTCCTGGTGCTGGATCCCCACCGGAGTTGGCCTCAAAGCTCTGAGCCTGCCCCTGAGACCCAGGGAGCCTGTCCTGCATCTCAGAGCACATCAGCACCTGCAGCCCTGTCCCTGCGGTTCAATCCCTGTTTGGTGCAAGGGCTCAGAGCCCTCCTCACTCAGCACCAGGCAGAGGAGCTGCAGAGGGCATCTGGCGATGGCCTGGCCATGAGGAGCCTGCGTCCCATCCCAGTCACCAGCATCCCTGCATCAGACGGGGACTGCTTGAGGGTCCGGGTCTGCATGGATGGGGAGGCTTTCATGGGGCTTCTCCTGTACCCGAGGCAAGAAATGGAGGCTGCAGAGGGCAGAGGCTGCGTTTTGGTGCCCTGGGCACCTCTGCCGTGTCCTGTCCATGGGGCTCCTCGCGCACGTGGACAGAAGCAGCAGAGCGGGGCCCATTTCCCACAGTGTGGCCACAAGCAAGCCCACAGGAATGAGCCAGGAGCACATCCCCTGCCTGCACGGGATGCACCAGCCCTTGATGGGAGGCTTCTGCTGCGCTCACGTGGTTCTGCCTGGAAACCCTTGGGCTTCCTCATCCCGGCACTGACAGAAGCCTTCCTATGGCAAAGCACATGAGCCAGGAAATTAAAAGGCAGCAGTGCCGGAAACCGGGACACGGCCCCTGCCATTACCTGGGAGGGTTTGCATTTGCCATGGGCTTGCCAGGAAATTCCTGCTGCCACAAAGGTGCCTGTGGGCCTGAGGCACTGCAGGGCCACTATAAAAGGCAGCCCAGGTCTCTGCTCCTCATCCACTTCTCTCGCCTCCTTCTGCTGGGAATCAGGTGAGTGCGAAGCCTCTTGTGCTGCTGCTTCCAGAGCAGGTCGTTCCTGCCCGTGTGTCTGAGCTGAGCGGGGCTGTGGTAGCGCAGGGCTGGGAGCTGCTTGTGGTGGGAGAGGGAAGGGGAGAGAAGGGCTTGTGCAGAGAGAGGCTGGGACTGAGCTGAGCTGGCTGCTGGGCTTGGAGGTGCTCAGCGTGTGCTGGGCCGGGAGGTGCCTTGGCTTGCCCAGGCTTGGGTGCAGAGCTGCTGCTCCCGTGTCCCATCCTCTGCTTGCCCCTGCCCTGTGTCCAGGTGAAGCTCCAGCATCCAGACATGTCCTGCTGCAACCCGTGCGTGCCCTGCCAGCCCTGCGGCCCGACCCCGCTGGCCAACAGCTGCAATGAGTGCTGTGTCAGGCAGTGCCAGAGCTCCACCGTCGTCATTGAGCCTTCCCCCGTGGTGGTGACCCTGCCCGGCCCCATCCTCAGCTCCTTCCCTCAGAACACCGTTGTGGGCTCCTCCACCTCCGCTGCCGTTGGCAGCATCCTCAGCTGTGAGGGAGTGCCCATCAACTCCGGGTGCTTCGACCTCTCCTGCATCACCAACCGCTACTGCGGCACCAGGTGCAGACCCTGCTAAAGCTGCTGCCAGCATCCTCGGGCAAGGACCTCCACCACCTCCCACCATGGATCTGGACAGGAGATAGAGCTTCGCGGCGCTGTTTCCTTCTCCCACTCTCCTCTCCATTCCTTTCCTGTCTCCACCTCCTGCACCAGCCCAGTGGGGACCTCTTGGCCTCCCTCCCTCCCTGTGAGGGACAGGCAGGCGGACACCCTGCAGGAGCTGCACCGCATCTTGGTGCCTGCCCCTGGTGCTCCCTGGGAGCCACCTCCTTTTCTTCTTTACCCTCATTAAAGTTGTGCTGCATCCAAGCCTGGGTCTCCGAGTCCTCCTTCCTTCCGTGGGAACTCTTCCCCTCTGCTCAGGGGAAAAGGTGCCTTCCTGGAGACAATTTATGTTGGTTCAATGATGACTTTTCCTCATTCCCAGAGGAAGAGAGGGTAGGACTCACTGCACTGGGTTACCTCCTGTGCTGTGTCCCTTGGAGCTGAGGAAGACATCCCTGACTGCTGCACAGCAAATGACCATCAGTCCTTGCAGCCTTGCTCTATCCCTTCCCATACGGGCCTGGAGCGCTGGCCCTGGAGCACCTTCAAGAAGAGGATGGCTCCAAAGTGTGGCAGGAGTAAGGATAAGGAGATGCTAATACCTGGGGCCAGCTTCATCTCTGCCTTCTCCTCCATTCCATCGCCTGGTGTAGGGTCCATGGCTAGCACACAGAGGCACAGGTAGATGGGACCTCACACAGTCCTTCAGAGCCAGACATGCAGGGCTGAGGTAGTTCGTGAGTGAGTGCCGGTCCCAGTCCCAAAGTGGAGTCCCCACTACCTGTAAATACAACAGGTCATGGTTGTGCATCATGGCAGGGGGGAGATCTCCATCCCTGCAGTGGATTTTGTCCCTCAGTATCCTGGTACATGAAATGGTTTGAAGCCATCCTTGACAAACATCCTTCATCCCTGGCAGTGCTCAAGGCCAGGTTGGACACAGGGGCTTGGAGCAAGCTGCTCCAGTGGAAGGGGTCCCTGCCCGTGGCAGGGGTTGGAGCTGGATCAGCTTTAAGGTCCCTTTAATCCAAACCAAGCTGGGATTCTCTGTTGATTCATGATCCTATGAAAAAAGAAAAACATATTGGCTAATAGGGAATCCTATGTGGGAAAGAAAACTAGAAAAAGACAAAAAAGAGAAATCCACGTGGAAAAGAAAAAAGCCATGGAAAAACTTGGGTTGTGGGGTACTAAATGCATAGGAAGAACATTTAAAATGCTACAGGGAATAGATAACGATAAAGAACTGATATGGAAAAGGGACAGGAAACTAAAACAGAGACACAGAAAGGTCAGTTAGAAAGCAAAGACAACAAATAGAGAATTGAAAAATAAAGACAGTGAATGAGAGAAAAGCAGAAAATTCTAAAATCCTGGGGATTTAAAGAGAAAATAACAAAAAAATAACAACAGTGAAGGAAAACGCAGATGGAGAAAAAGGTTTAGAAGCAGCAGCACTGCGCAAAGAGAAGAAAGAATTAAAAGATCAAGACAGGAAAGGGGATAAATGTAGGCAGAGGAAGAACATTTAAAAAGCAATAGCCATTAAGGAAGTAAAAGTAAACCAAGTTGAAATAAGGGCAACAAATTACCTACACAGAGCTACATATGCAACTATTGGATAGGATCACAGAACCCCAGCCTGGTTTGGGTTGGAAGGGAGCTTAAAGCTCATCCAGTTCCAACCCCCTTCCACTGGAGCAGCTTGCTACAAGCCCCTGTGTCCAACCTGGCCTTGAGCACTGCCAGGGATGGGGCAGCCACAGCTTCTCTGGGCACCCTGTGCCAGCGCCTCAGCACCCTCACAGGGAAGAGCTTCTGCCTAAGAGCTCAGCTCCACCCCTGCCAGCTCTGCCCCTGCAGACACCCCCAGGTACCTCCATGCAGCGACTTCTGTCCTGGTCCCCCCACACTGCTCCCTCCTCACAAGCTGCCCTCATCCATGAGCTCCCGTTCTCAGGCCAGCCCTGCTGAATAACCTCCAGCAACTGGAGGCACCAGTGCCTCCCAGTCCCAAACTGGTTCAGGACCGCACGGACCTGCTCCCCGTTTGTGTCCCACTCCCCGGGCACATTCCCCCATCTGCAGCTCCCGAACCAGCTTTTCCTGCTGGAGGAACCCTGTCCCAGCACGAACCAGCCCTGGTGACAGTCCGGCTGCAGGGACAGCCAGGCCGGCGACCTGGGGATGTCCCTGCGGCTCCTCTGGGACCTTGGGAAACCTCCCCACGGGGGGGCCCTGCAGAGCTGCGAGCAGGGCTGGGGCTGTCCCAGGCATTTCTGTCCCCTCTGAAACAATGCCTCAAATCTGGAATTGATCTCGAGTTATTTCTATTTCATTTCTATTTCTATTATTTCTGTTTCTCTTTCTGTTTCCATTTCTATTCTATTGTTTCTATTTCTATTTCTTCTGTTTGTATTAGTTCTATTTCTGTAGCTCTCTTTCTATTAGTTCTATTTCTGTAGTTCTCTTTCTATTAGTTTTATTTATAGTTCTACATTTTTCTATTATATTTTTATTATTTCCATTTCCATATTTCTCTATTGCATTTCTATAGTTTCTATTTCTATATTTCTTTATTTTTCTATTTTACTTCTAGTTCTATCATTTCAAATTCTGTTTCTCCTGTTCTTTTCCCCCTTCCAGTTCCCTTTCCATCCCTCTCATTTCCCTTCTCTTCACATTTCGGGTTATTTCACCGCTTGACCCGCGGCCCGTGCGGTGCCGGCAGGGCCGGGACTCGAACCTGGGGCCCCACCAGGCGCAGTTCCCCATTCAGCCCGTCAGATGGCGCCATTGCACTGCGCGGTGCTGCTGCCGGGGCGGGGAGGAGCGGCGAGGGCTCAGGGATGGGACGAGGGGGAGATGAGAGGGAAAAGCCCGTTCCAGAGTTAAGGATCCGCCCGCAGCCCCCCCAGCCCCTCCCAGGGATAAGGAGCTGCCAACAGAGCAGAGACCCCCCCCAAATAAGTCCCCAAAGCTGGGTATATGGGGGGGGGGGCTGGACACAGCCCAGGGGCTGGCTTGGGGACCCCGGGCTGGGTGATGCTGCTGGGGGCTCTTAGGGCAGCAGGGGGGGGGGTGTGGAGGGGGTGTGTGTCAGGACCATGACTGGGAGTGCGAGAGGGGCCCAGAGGAGGAGAAGTGTCCTCAGAATCGGGGTTTGTCACCACCCGAGGTCCCCACAGGGCAGGTGGAGAAGGGCAGGTCGGTGGAGGACCTGAGGGACCACTCCATGGGGCACGACATTGAACTGGGGGACACTGGGAGAAGGTGGGACCTGAAGGGGGGGTGTTGTCCTAAAACGTACCCCTACAGCCACCCAATCCCAACCCTGGACCCTTCCTCATCCCTATCCCCATCCCTTCCTCTGCTCTAACCCATAGCAAACACCCCCCAGCGCTGCTCCCCCTGTAAATCCCCCCTCATCACCAAGAGACCCCTAGACAGAAAGCACCCCCTTGACTCACAGTGTCCCCAGAGCCCCAGCCAGTCCCCCCCCATTTCCTCCCCTGCTCCCGCAGACGGGAGCCTGCGGTCTCTATTTATCCCTTCTCCCTCCTTCACCCACTCTTTGTTGTTTCTTGAGAGAGGGAAAGAAGGGAAGGAGAGGAAAAAAACACAGAGAGAGAGAGGCAGAGAGGAGGCCGGAGCCTATTTTGCCTCCCAGGCAATATTTCTGGAGCCAATCGGAATGCGCACCCACCCTGCCCTGCTCCCTAATTAAAGGCTTTAAGCAGGCGGCCGGGGCTGGAGGTTTGGGCACAGTCTCTTGGTTGCTCCTCGCAAGAGCTGGTGTGGAGGAGCCGGCTCTGGGCACCCCAGGCCTGACGTGGGCAACCGGAGCGGCCGGGTTGGGGGGTCCCCAGCCAGGCAGGCAGCTCCCCCCCCCCTCCCCGCATTGCCCAGCTCCAGCAATGAGTGGCTCTTTCGACAAGAAGCTCTCCAGCATCCTCACCGACCTCTCGGGCTCCCTGAGCTGCCATGCCGCCTCCAAGGACTCTCCCACCTTACCGGAGTCCTCCGTCACCGACCTGGGCTACTACACCAGCCAACATGACTACTACCCGGGCCAGTCCTACAGCCAGCCTGTGAGCCACTACCCCTACCACCAGTTCAACCTCAACGGCATCGGCACCGCCGGCACCTACTCGCCCAAATCTGACTATTCCTACAGCCCTTCCTACCGCCAGTACAGCCACTTCAGGGACCAGCAGCTCCCGGCCCAAGAAGCAGGTAGGATGCTTGGGAAAAGGGGGGCTGTATCCATCCCATGAGTCCCTTGGGACAACGGCAGTGAAGTTGCACTCCTCTGAGCGTCCCCAAGTTGGGGATAGGGGTGTTGTTGTGGATGGGGAGAGGGATCAGCCCCCTCTGGCATCCCCAGTGCTGCTGGGGGGATGCAGTGGGATGGGTCCATGCTGGATGTGGCCATCAGGGGATGGGGGCACACGGAATGTGATGACCCTGAGATGGGAAGTGGGGGGGGGGGGGTGTTCAGCGCTGGGACCCCTTCACCAGCCTCACACCTCCGCTGTCTGCCCAGTGTCGGTGAAGGAGGAGCCGGAGCCGGAGGTGCGGATGGTCAATGGGAAACCCAAGAAGATCCGCAAGCCCCGCACCATCTACTCCAGTTACCAGCTGGCGGCTCTGCAGCGCCGCTTCCAGAAAGCGCAGTACCTGGCGCTGCCCGAACGGGCTGAACTGGCCGCCCAGCTCGGGCTCACCCAGACCCAGGTAAGGGCTGAGCCCCCCCCCGGCACCCCCCGGCACCCCAGTTCCCAGCCGCAGGCAGGAGGGATCGGCAGGGCAGGAGCCTTGCATAGCCCGAACCGGTGGGGTTTGGGAGGGGGCTCTGTTCCCATGGCGGGGACGGGGGCTGCGGGTCCCTATGGATGGATGCTGCCCACTTGCTCATGGGCGCAGGGGTCCCTGCTGCCAGATTTCCCCGTGCGGAGCAGAGGAAAAGGTGGAGAGGAGGGAAGGAGCAGAGAGAAGGGAAGGATCCCAGCCAAGCCCGATCCCATGTTTCGGGGTTCATCCCCTTCCCCTTGGAGCAAGCCCTGTCCTAGACCTTGCTCTGCTCCGGCACCGGGCAGGGTCAGAGGCTAAATCCTGCCCCGGTGTCTGGGAGAGCCCTGGGTCACCAACACAGCCGGCACGCTGGGAATGTGGGACACCAAATCCAGATGCAGGATGGGACATTTGGGACAGGGTGCTTGAGACACCCCATCCCAGCAGCAGGTCCTGGCCCTGTGCCTCGTGGGAGCACCTGGGGGCCAGACCCTGCTCTTCCAGCTGGATTTTCCAGGGCTTCCCTTAGGGAGCTCCTCCCCGTGCTCCGGCTCCCCCGTGCTGCTTGGTCCAGGCAAAGAGAAGGGATTTTGGGATAGGATCCACATTCCCCCCAGGATCTCCGTGCTGGGGTGGCTGTTTAGGCTGGACGGGAAGAGCAGGGACTCTGTGGGCTCCCCCTTATGATTTGGGGTGAAACCCTCGCTACTGGGGTTTGCCTGGTGCGGGAACAGATCCCCCCCACCGATCTACTTGCACAAGGACGAGCCGGTTGTCACCCCCCCATCACCGCAGCGGGGGGCTCCCTCCGCACCCCATCCCATCCCCAGCACCCTCCCTGCCTGCGGGCCGGCACCGGCGCCCTTGTGCCGCCCTTGGCTTGGCGCTCCCCAGCGCCTCCCGGCCTTCCTCCTCCTCCCTTGGGCGATGAAGCAATCGGGGACACTCGGCAAAGGGCTGACGGAGCGCGTCACCCGCTCCCAGAGGGACATCCTGTTTGGGTGACAGCCACCCACCCCTTCCCCAGGGGCCAAGGGCGTCCAGCGCCGCCTCACCCAGCTCCAGGGACGCTCCCAACGCCCGTGATGCTGCAGTGACGGGCATCCCGCGACGCCCGTGTCCCCACCAGGGCTCCCTGCGATGCTCCATGGTCCCCAGGACACCCGTACCGTGGTGCATCCGGGTGACACCCACAGCCCGGGTGCCATCCTGGGGGTTTGGGGGTCTTGTGGCAGGTTTCCTGCAATGGGGTCCCCATGATGCTGTTGTCCCTTCCCACCCAGCTCTGTGTAGTCTGGGGTCCACATGGGTGCCATGTGGGTGCCAAGCTGGGGGGGGCTTCCCTCAATGCACTATGTGTGTGAGTCCTCGTGCCCTGCCAAGCTCCCCGTGGTGCCCATGTCCCTTATCCCTTCCCACTTCAGTGGGATCCATCCTAATCCGCATCCCCTCCTCACCGCGAGCATCCCATTCAACCCGCTTTCGGTGCCGGGGGTACTGACCCCCCCCTTCTCCCTCCTTGCCAGGTGAAGATCTGGTTCCAGAACCGGCGCTCCAAGTTCAAGAAGCTGTACAAGAACGGCGAGGTGCCGCTGGAGCACAGCCCCAACAACAGCGACTCCATGGCCTGCAACTCCCCGCCTTCCCCGGCCGTCTGGGACAGTAACTCGCACGGCACCGCGCCGGGCAGGACCCCCCTCCCGCAGCCGCTTCCTTACAGCTCTTCTCCGGGCTTCTTGGAGGAGCACAACCCCTGGTATCACCCCCAGACCCTCAGCGGACCCCACGGACCCCACCAGCCGCCACCGGCCGCCGCGATGCATCACACCTCCCCGGGGCCGCCCCCAAACACGGGTGCCGTCTATTAAAGAGCCCGGAGCTGAGACCAGGAATGAGGGACAGTGGCAGAACTCCTTTGCCTCCTTTTTTTCCCCCTACTTTTTTTTGGGTTTTTTTCTTCTTTTTTTTTCTATTTTTAAAGCGAAAAAGGACACCCATGTACACACACCCCTAAATATACTCTTAGATATCCTATCCTTTCCCAGCTCATCTCAGGAACAAGAGGACTCCAAAGGGTTAAACTCCTTAGCTACCAGCCCAGGGCAGGCAAGGAAAAGGTGGCAGCGAATTCTTCTTCTGCATTTTTATCCTTATTCCATCACCCCCTAATAAAAACCAGCCCCCGAGGAGCCGCATCCCACTGGGAATCTCTCACCGGAGCTTTGCTTCTTGGGGCCACCCTGAGCCTTTGGGGGGGCTCCCTGAGCACAGGGGGCACCCAGAGCACCTGCACCCAGGCCCGTGGGGAGGAGGATGCATGCGGGTGCGCATCGCCGATGCCGAAGGAGCGGGATGAGCTTCACCCTCACGGCATCGGATGAGAGGATGATGCGGGGGGGACCATGGATACCCCACGGGAACAAAGCATCGCCTGCAGCCCATCCGCTCCGGTGGCGGCTTCGCGGGATGAGGACCGGCTCCGACAATAAGGTGGTTATTTAAGAATAAATCGAAAACCTAAGGGGAAGGGGAGAAAAAAGCTATTTTAATATTTAAACAGTTCAGGAACGGTTTAAGTTATTTTGTAGAGAGAAAAACTGTGCTAAACTCTGTTTCCCAGCAGTGCCTCCATCCGTGTCAGTTCAGTTCCCAGCGAAGCGGGATGCCTATTTCCTAAGCAAATGGACAGCACATTTTAGAGGGGAAAAAAAAAAAGAAAAAACAAAACAAAAAAAAAAAGAGAAAGAAAAAAGAAATTTTACTATTTTTTAAGAGGATGATGCTATTTTTTTAAAAGCAGCAAGTGCCGTTTGAAGAAGTGTTCATACGCGTTGTACAGTCCCGAGGGTCTTATTTATGTTGCCTTATATATAAATAGGGGTGTATTGGGGGGAAAAAAAGAGAGTGTACATAAAGGTTCGTTTGTATAAAGTTGATCCAAACCAAACTGGTTTTGCTCTGGTTTTGTTGTTTGCTTTTTTTTGGGTTGTTTTTTAAGGAAAAAAAAAAGGGAAAACACCCCAAATTGGGTGATGGGAGCCCCCTCTAAGGACAAAGCGGCTTCCTCCGAGCGACCTTTGCTGCTTTCCTAGTGACCAAAAGCTGATCTCGAAGAGTGAATAAAAGTGGTTTGAATTTGAAAGCTCCAAACGTTGTTTTTGGGGAGGGTTTTTGATGAGCAGGGAGGAACTCCTGGGTTTTCTGGCTTGGAAAACATGGAGTTAAACCCCCTGTGCCCTAGTTTGGGGAGCAGTTGGGGGTTAAGGGACCTAAGGGTGATGCTGGCTCATCCTGGGTCCCACTCTGCCCCGCTGAGAGGGAATCTGGAGGAAGGGAATTTTACTCCTGGTTGCAGTCTTCCTCACTGCTTCCAGGACCTGCTTCCTTCTCCTGCTGCTTACTGGGACCAGTACACTGCTGGCCATGCAAACTGGGAAGGCGCTGGGCTGCCCTGGTGTCCCTTTTGGGGATGCTCATGAGCAAGGGATGGGAGCCCCCCCCCCCAAAGGTACCATGGGGTCTGCAGAGATGGTGACTTCACCCATCAGTGTTCTGGGGTTGGGAGGGCTCCAGTGACCAGTGATAGGGACAGTCCTTGGGGTTGAACCCTGCTGGTTGCCTTGCCCTGCTGTCACCAGCATCATTCCGTGCATAGCAGTGCAGCAAAGGGTCGGGGGTTGAAGCCCCTACATCCATCCCAGTGTTATCCTCACTGAGCCCTGCATCCCATCCCCAATGATCCTGGAGGGTTCCCCCTCAGCCCCACACAGCACTCAGCCCTCCATGGGGTGGCTCTGGGGATGGTCCCTCTGCACCATCCAGTGAACCCCAGCTCTGCTGAGTGCTGGACACAGCTGGGATGCACCCAGTGGTGTCCCCACATCCCCATAGTCCACACGGAGCCAACCTCACTCTTTACACCCATGAACGTTTCCTTCAATCCCCCCCATGGGCTGCACCCCGCAGCTCCCCACCTCCTCCCATGCACCCAGCATCGGGCACAGCTGGATCCCTGGGTATCCCCATTGGGCTACTGCATGACCAGGCCAGTTGCAGCACACAAAGGGGTGCTGCCAGCCCCCCGTATGCGGTGCTTGGGGTTGGGGTTGGGGTTGGAGGCTGTGTGCAATGCGCCCCAGAGCCGGCGGCGGGCAGACAGGCTGGAGACATGGGGGTGATTAGGGGGGAGCTGCCAGCAAGAGTGGGGAGGAGGCGGGTTGGGAAGGAGGAAACGGAGCGGCATTGCCTGGAGTGAGAGGCACAGAGCGAGCTGGCACTGGGGTTTTGTTGGGTTTTTAATGGAGGGAAGGGAAAGGCAGAAGGTTCCATATCCACACACTATATAGAAATGCTGGGAGCATCCCTGCCTGTGGAGCGAGGTTCATCCTGCTCCCTTCCAGCACTGGGGTCTGCAGGCAGCTTGTGCAGCAGGGATGGACACAGGGGATGTTATAGTCCCCTTGTCCCCCCATGGAATGGGTTGGGTTGGAAGGGACCTTAAAGCTCCTCCAGCTCCAACCCCTGCCATGGACAGGGACCCCCTTCCACTGGAGCAGCTTGCTCCAAGCCCGTGTCCAACGTGGCCTTGAGCACTGCCAGGGATGGGGCAGCCATAAGTTCCTGTGGCTGCAGGACCCTAGGGCCAAGCTCGATCCTCCTGCTAGCAGCTGATACCCCAGAGTGCTCCCAAAAGCAGAATGAAGCCTGAGAGCCAGAGGCAGGACCCCCCCACCGCGGTGGGAACATCACCCAGATCCTCCCAGCATCCCTCACCCGGCCCTGGCATGGGAATGGGATGAGCGTCCTTCATCATCCTAGTACCAGGATGGGGATGCTGGGGACACCCAGCCTCTTGAAGGGGGTTTTGCCATCACCTTTCCCCATTGCGACACGCTGCATCCATCCCCTTGCATCACACTGCTGCCAGCACCAGGAGCGGGGGCAGCTGCTCACCCACAGCCTGGCATCCACCGCGTCCTCATCCTTTCCCAATCCTCATCCTCTCCCAGCTCTTGGCTAACCCGGCACGCGGCAGCCGGAGCGACACGGGGCAACCACAGCATTGCCACGAGCCAGGGCCCCGGCTCCATTCTCAGCTCTGGAAAACAGGATGGAAACGCTTTGTGTCGACCCCTGTCCATGTCCCATCACCCTGAATGGGCTGGGGACAGGAAAGGGACACAAGGTCCTCCCCAATGCCCAAATCTGCCCTGGTGCTTTGGAGGGAGCTGGTTGGGTTTCCAGCCTGTGCAGGTGGAACAAGAGGGACCTGAGGAAGCTCATCCCCAAGACATCCCCTAATGGGTTTTCTCCCATCCAGTGGGTTAAACCCTACCAGAGAGGGATGCCTGGGAGCTCTGGGCCTTTTCTGAGTGGGGACACTTGAAGAGGCAAAAGCAGCTCCAGTGATGCTGTGCAGGCATCTCCTGGGCCACCATCTGATTCAGCTGCAGAAAGGGTAGAACAACCCCCAAGCCTCCTTCTCTGCACTCCAAACCCCATCCCTGTCCCCAGCCCCATCCCCGTCCCCATCCCCATCCCATAGGAGCATCCCGAGCGGGATGGGGGCCAGGGGTGCCCAGAGATGGGCTGGAGCAGGATGTGGGGTCAGCCATGGCTCTCCCATGTATGTGTTTGGGTGCAGGGGGAGCTGTGGGTGTCCCCACTGCGTGGTCCAGGCGCCAGTCACCGTCCCAGTGCCGGGTGGGATGGATCCTGGCTCCTGGAGCCCATGGCTGCTGCCTCCCTCCTGCTGCAAGCCGGGGCCTGTGGGCGGCTCTGGCTGCAGGTCCTTGGCAGCACATCCATCGGGCACCTCAGCCTCTGCCTCCTGCTTTCCCCATCCCCTGCTCAGCACCCAGATGCATCCCAAGCCACCGTTTGGAGCCAGGACCCCACCACGTTCCAGCCCCTTCCCATGGCTGCAGAGTAATTCCTTGAGGAAAGCCGCCCCTTCCAGCCCAAGCCCTTGTCTGGGATAAATCCCACCCACAAGGAGCTGGGTTCTCCTTTGACAGCAGCGCAAAGCAAACCCATCCACCTCCATAAAGCCTTGGTGGGGATGATGGGCTCCATCCCTCAGGGGGAATAAAGCCAAGGTCTTGCCCTGCACAGACCCCTGCTTCTGCTGGACTCATCCCCTCATCCCCACATGGGACATCATCCACTCCACCTTGGCCTCAGTTGGTCCTAAGGGGTGCTGAGCCCGCAGCCTCCACATCCTCCACATCCCATTGCTGCAATGTACCCGTGGCCATCACAGGACACAGCAGGGGCCAACCATGCCTGTGGCTCGGTGGGGTCACCACCAGCACCCCAAACCTCTTGGCTGAGGGATCAAACCCACTCCCAGTTGGCCTCATGTGCTGCTGATGGTGCAGAGCAAACAGAGCCATGCACAGCATCACAACGTCCAGCTGGGATGGGAAATGTGGTCACTGGGGCAGGAAGGGATCCTTGGAATGGGAGGAATATAAAGTGGGAGCATTGGGAGCACAGATCATGTTTGTGCGATGGAGGCAACCTCAGTACCCCGCTGCCCCAGCAAGGGGAGACCTCAGTGCCGGTCCCATCCCCATCATGGGGGACAAGCACTGACCGGGACTGGGAAAAGTGGGGAATACCAAGCATGTATTTTCCAGCCGGGTTCTGGCCTCTGGAAGGCACAAAAGGAGGTGGGAGATGCACTGAGGAGGGAACCTGCAGCGGAAAAGGATCCCCTATTCCCAAAACACTCCCCCTGCCAGAGCCAGGGATCGAGTCCAGGGGCTGTTGGAGATGTGGGGCAGGAACCCCAGGTTCCCCCCACCTTCCCCTACCACCTTTATTAAGGCCAACACCTTCACCAGCTCCACATTGCCTGTAATTACCCCATGAGAAGCCCCTCACGAGGAGCCTGCCCCGCAATCACTGCAACTGTGCCTCGAATCAGTCTGGAAACAGCATCAGGTCCCACACCGGTGTTTGGGGAGGGGGGGCAGAGCCCCTGCTCCCTGCTTCAGCGCTCCCATCCCCACGGGGCTGTTTTCCCAAGGGATGGGAGCTCCCAAGGGCAGGGACTGAAGTGTCTGCTCCCATAGCAGGGTCAGAGCCCCAGCAGGCACAGAGGAGAGGTTATTACAAGTGTACAGCTATTTATAGGGGGGGCATACAATAATGGACGGTATTTATAAATAAAGCCAGGCCAGGGGGGGTCTGGGGACCCCCCCAGCCTCTCTCCAGTCCCCCCCATGCCCCCTGTCTATGAACAGAGAGACCCAGGGCTGCGACTGGAGGCCAAGTCCTATCCCATCGGGATGGTGACATCAAGGTGTTGTGCCGGAGCTGCATCACTTTGGACCACGATGGAGCAAGTAATTCACAGGTTCCTGCAGGCTGCGGTCGCCTTCCTCCTCCTCTTCCTCCTTCTCCATTTGCTGAGGTCCCCCAAGGCTTCGCTGGGCTCCCCAGTCCCTTGGCGGTGGCCACAGAGCATCCCCCTCACTGGTCCTCCCAGTGCTGGCAAGTGCTGGAGCCAACGGCAGCATCACATCATGGGGGCCCGGGGCATGGTGTCCTGTGGGTGAGGCTGGTACCAGGCTCCAAAGCTGTTGATGTAGCTGCTGGAGGACAGGGGGGGTCCTTTTCCCGGCATGGGGATGTCCCAGAGAGGAGGGATGTTGGGGGAGCAGGGGGAGAGGGAGGCAGTGTTATGGAGGTGCTCCCCATCAGGAGCACTGGAGCCCTGCTTCATGATCTTCTTGTACTTGGAGCGCTTGTTCTGGAACCAGATCTTGACCTGAGGAGAGAGGTGTCAGTGGGGAGGATGGGGTCTGTGGTCAGCACACCCCCATAAACCCCCAGCATCAGTAACTATGGGGACCTGTGGTCCCCATCTCCATCTGCACCAACCCTTTCCAGGGAGCACAGCCAATTGGGCACGGGGGTCTATGAGATAAACCGGGCTCTGAGCCCAACCCCTTACAAGCCACCAGAGACTCCACTAAGAGGAGGATTTGGGAAGAGGCACAAGGAGCCCACACAAACACGTGGAGAGCAAGCCAGGAGGCCCCAGGATGCACATCCCCACTGCCCCCACTCCGGGTCGGGCTGTGGCCCCCCAAGCCCAGCCGGGTGCTGGTGCTGGGGTGCGGCACGGTGGGGTGGTGGCCCCCGCTCATTCCTCCCCGCAGTCCCCCCCGCGCTGCCGGCAGGTTCCCACTTGTCTCCTCCTTCCCTAGCTTTATTAGCTCGCTTCGCCCCTGGCTCCGGGCTGCACCGCTGCCGCCTGCCTGTCTCTCCCCATCGCCTTCAAAAACCCACTCGCCCCATCCCACGGCCCAGGGCCGCCCAGCAACCGGGCACGGCCGGGCCGGCAGCCAGGCTGCGGGGCTGGGAAAGTCCCGGTGCCGCTGGGAGGTGCGAGCAGGAGCACCCCGAACCCGAGCCCCGGGGGCCCACCGGCGCCAGCTCCCCCGCCGCAGCACGGCCCGGCTCGGCAGCGTTCCAGCTGCACCCCGGCATCGTGACGCAGCCTCAGTGCAAGAGTCCCTCCCGGAGCAGCAATAGGCAGGAGGCTCCTGTGGGGTGCACGGCTATGGGGCTGCGAGCATCCCCTCGCCCCTCGTTGAGGCCGTACCTGGGTCTGGGTGAGCCCCAGCTGAGCCGCCAGCTCGGCGCGCTCCGGCAGCGCCAGGTACTGGGTCTGCTGGAAGCGCTGGTTGAGGGCTTGGAGCTGCAGGCTGGAGTAGATGGTGCGCGGCTTGCGCAGCTTCTTGCCCTTGCTGCTGATGCGCAGCTCCCCGTTGGCCATGGCCAGGGGCTTCTCGTGGTCTTGGGGTGGGAGAGGAGCAGAGTTAAAGCAGCACGGTGGGAGGTTAAAGGAAATAACCCAACAACCAACCCCAAACCACCCCCCCCAGGCCCTGGGCTGCTGTGGGGTTTGATTTTTGGAGGTTAGGTTTGGAAGGGGAGGAAAAAAGTGGGACCTGCTTTTGCTTTGCTGGAGCGTTTTAAGCCACAGGTAAAGCAAAGGGGGAAGAGGAGGAGAAAGGGAGGGATGGGATTATCCAGCCAATATAACTATGTAGGTTCAAAAGTGGGCAGGCCACAGGCCCCTCTGCCGTGCACCCAATTTGGGGGGCAGGCAGGACCCGATGGGGAAACAAAGGGGGCAACAGGAGAGTCCCTTACCCCAGTGGGTCCCTTCTATGGGGATGCTGGTGGTCCCTAGATCAGCAGTACATGGCTAAGGTGGGTGAGCACAGGGCACGGAAGCGTTTTGCATGACTATGGGGAGAAAACAGTGGGGAATGGGAACGGGGGCAGGGAGCTGAGATTGGAGCAGTGGGGAATGGGAATGCAACGGGGCAGAAGGGGAGAGCCTGCCTGGACCGGGAGGTCTCAGAGGGAGGACAAGAGCATCCGCGGGCGTCAGGCGGCTCTGAGGCAGGATGCGGGCAGCCGGGGGTCCGATGCTCCCCATCCCCAGTGTTCCTTGCCACCACGCAGCCGCGCTTCCCCATGCGGCTCCAGCTCAGGGAGGGATGGACGCAGCCCCCGCCCCGTCAGGCCGAGCCCCGCAGCGCCGCTGCCCCGACGGCGCTTCCGACAGCTCCGTCTCTGCGCTTGCCCATCAACGCCCGTGGCCCCACGCCGGGTGGGTGCCCGGGAGCGGGTCCGCAGCGCCGAGCACCCCGCGCCCTCCTTACCTGCATCCTGCAGCCTGGCGCCGTGGGCCAGCTGGGCCGGGGGGTGCTGGGTGCCGGGGGGCGGGTAGGGCAGGTAGGGCCCTCCGTGAGGGAGCGGGGGGGCACCGCCGGGGTAGGGGTAAGGCCCGGGCCGGCCGTAGGAGGCGAAGGGCGCTGGGTCGTGCTGGGGGTGGCTGGCGGGGTGGAGGCCGTGCAGCGGGTAGTGCGGCGGCGATGGGTGGCCGAGCTCCAGGAAAGCGGCTTTGGACGGGTCGGACCCCAGCAAGCTCTCGGCCACGGAGCTCATGGTCATGGTGGGCAGGGCCGGGCCGGGCCGGGGCGCGCAGCCCCCGGAGCCCGCGGAGCCGCACCGAGCCCCGCCGCCCCCCGACGGGCTCCACGCTGCCGAGGGCGGCCCCGCGCCCCGGGGATCCCCCGCCCGCCCCGCCCCCGCCGGCGGAAGGCCACGCCCCTCGTGACGTCACCCACCGGGCACCCCTCTGGTTGCCCCCCACCTCGGGGGCAGCCCCTTCTGTGTCCCCATCCTGCTCGCACCCCCCCCCCCCCCGTCGGTTCCCCTGGCCGGGAGCAATGCACCCGCCCCGAGGGGACACCCGGGGGGACGCAGCGCGACCACCATGCCCTGGTTGGGTCTCCCCAGCGGGGCTTCCCCTTGTTGCTCCCTATATTGGGGTGCTCCGTGCTGGGGGATCACCCCCTTCCCAGGGACCTTCCGGGATGGACGGCGACTTCCACGCACATGGCCCTTGGGGGGATGGATCCCCTCTAAGGGGAACACGAGGCAGCCCCGGCGCTCGGGGGACAGACACGGTGGAGCCGAGGCCGCTCGCACTCAGCTCACCTGTGCGGGAACAGGGGACACGGCAGGGATGGAGACGGGAGGGGACGGACAGCGCATGGAGGGATGGAGGCCGGAGGAGTCCCTGCGCACCCGCAGTGCTCGTGGGTGCTGGGGGGAGGACACCCGCGGGGGTGGGAACCCCAGAGCCACCCCGTCGGCGCCTGCCCCGGCAGACGGGAGGCCCCTTCCCCGGCGTCGGCAGCGCCCGGTCCCCGCGGGGCCCCGCTCCCGGCGGCAGGCGCCGACCTGCCCGACCGCTCCCTCCCAGCGCCCCGGGGAGCCCTGACCCTGGCGGGGTGCGTGGGGCCCCGAGGAGTCCCGCGGCCTCCACCCCGGCTGCCAACCGGAGCAAACCCCCCCCCCATCGGGCTGGTTGTGCCATCAGCGCCTTTGGGGACAGCCAGCCGGAGCCTGGGTGCTGTTGGCAGGGGGGGATCTGCACCTCCTCCCGTCCCAGATTTCATGCAAAGCCCTGGATGGGGTCTGTGAGGCCCGGCTGCAGCGCAGGGATGGGTTGGGGGAGCCAGCACCAGCTGCCAGGTCTCCAAGAGTGGGGTTTGCCCCGAGGGAGCGGGTGCCGGGCGGATGGGGATGCTGGCAGGGAGGGTCCCCATCCCCACCCTCCCTGGGGATTAAACCATCCCCAAAACATGCTTCCATCTGGCCATGGTGCCAGGGCTGAGTCACGCCAAGCAGGGGCCAGGAGCTCCAGTGTTAACAGCCAAGCTCTGGGCTAACCCCAGGACACTTGGGGCTCATGTCCTGCCCCACATGTCCAACAACCCTTCCCCTGACCCACCTCTGACCCCCTGTAGCTGGTGCCTTCTGCTCCCTCTCCCCATCCCAACCTCCGTAAGGGTCATTTCCAGCATAGCCGGACCCTTGGTGCTGGGCACAGGCTCTGGGATGCCCATGTCCCTTCACCCCAGCATGGCGCTGAGCAAAGCACCAGTGTCCCTGGGACTGTCCTCAGGGCTCAAAATCCGATGTAAACCCTAAATTTGGGCATGGGGAGAAGCCCAAAGTGCCCAGGTCACCAAACTGCAGGGGCCAAAGTGAAAACTCCCCAAAAAGGCAAAAGCAGGGGCAAAGCAGGAAATAGAGGCAACAGGGAGAAATCCGGATGCTCTCCAGCACTGGCCGAGGCATCCCCAGGGGGCCTGGCTTGGCCGGCACCAAGGCCAAAGCTGATCTGCTTTCATCCCGGCTCCTCACTTTCCCTGCCGGGGTGACTCAGCTCTCCCCGGCTCCACAACGGGTGCTGGCTTGCAGGGATGAGCTCCCGGCCCCTCTGCTCCCTCCGGTGCTCCTCACCCCGGTGCTGAGGGTGGGAGGGAGATGCTGGGACTGGGGGCTGCATCCCTGGTCCTGCAGTGGCTGCCAGTGGTGGCACCAGATCCAGGGCTGGATCTGATGGGTTCAAATGCTCCCAGCCGTCTGTGCTCTCCCAGCCCTTTGTTATGTGATGGATGTAATAAATACCCATAATTACATGTAAATTGAAGTATCCCAAAATATCCACCATGTACCAGAGGAGCCAGGGTCCCTGTGGCCGATGCTGGAGTCCCCATGGGTGGTTTAGGTTTGACTTCTGGCAAGGAGAAAGAGGATTCTCAGGGTCAAATTCCCTCTCCTTGGGCAAGGTGTCACAACTCTGTTTCATTGGTGATGCCAAGGACATCCCACCCCTCCATACTGTGGGGCTAGAGAGGGAGTGGATACCCCTATGTGGGAATCTCCAAGCAAGCCCCATCGGCAAGCAGTGAGGCAGCGGTGACACCAGATGAAGGGATCCCATCTCCTCCTCCCCAGCTCCGTACAAGCAGTTTTGGGTCGGGGGTCTGCAGGTACCACCCTCAGCATCCCTGTGCCGAGGGGATGCCCCATCCCTCATCCCACTACGGCAGCACAGGGACAGCTCCACCTGATCTGCATTCCCTTGGGAGCCGGGGTAAGAAACTGGCACCAAACCTTCAGGCTGTGTAAAACCTCCCAGCTCCCAAGCATCACTCACCCGGGGCGAGGTGGGGGGGCTGCTGGTTCCCAGCGGCTCCAGCAGCTCCAGGGCAGGAACTGGTGCCGTCCAGGCACGGGGTCAGGTCCCAGCCCTCGTGTTTGTGTCGGCGTGGGTTGGCAGGGACGGAACGCGCTGTTTGAGCAGGGTTTGGGGTTTGGAGGGGGGGGAAGCTGCTGCCAAAGCAAACACCTCGAGCCGAGTCATTACATTAAACAAATAAATCACGGCCGCGCTTGGAGCCGACTCAAAAGTCTCCGTCTCGGGGCTGGAAGGTGCTGACACACGCCGAGACCCACACGGTGGCAGGGAGCTGCCAGCCGGGACATGCGGGATGCAGTCACCTGCCCGGTGATGCTCTGGATGGAGGAGCTCGGGATGCGGCTTTAACCAATGCAAAGCTGAGGCGCTGGAAGCTGCGGATCCTTCCCCTGCCCGCTTGCAGTGGCGAGGCGGATGGAAGCAGGGAAAGCTGTGTTGGGGGGTGTAGGGAAGCATGTGCCAGGTAACAAACCTACAAGATGCAAGATAAAGGGAGATCCCAACAGCTGTAATTACACGCTGGAGATAGAGCCGGCGCGGGGAAAGCCTGAAGCCAAGTACAGGAATTCTGGGTTAATGGCAGCCCAAGGAGAAGTTAATAACAAGCCCAACAAAGTGGGAGCAGACAGCCTGGCGTCTGCCCTCCCACACGCCACCGCTGCCACACTAACGAACATCCCTGCTATCTCCAGCCGGAGCGCAGGGATCGGGATGCTGCGGCGCTGGCTGCTCCCTGCGCTTCTCCCCTGGGAATTCCGGCTGGTTGGCAGGAGGAAAAAGCCATCCCTAGGGAAAAGGATGGAGGGGCTGTTGGGAGCATCGCCTGGGAGGGGGATGGAGACCTACCAGAGAAGGTAACAGTGCAGGGGAAAGGCTTTGCTCCATTGCACCCTCTTTCCCAATCCTGCCCTATAGGGGAGCACCACCACGAGTGGGAGCAGGATTCGTCCCCTGGATGGTGTCAGACACCCCCGGCGCACCCAGGACCTGTTTCCATGAATCACAGCATGAGCAAGGCAAGACAGGAGCTACTGATGGGGAGGTGACCTGAAGGTGCAGAGGTGGCCCAGGGGACACACAAACATGGGTGTCTATCATGGGGGGGGCTTGGATCTGGCTTTGACAGGGAGCTTTTAGAGGGACACAAGGAAAGGGAAGTTCACATCAGTATTCGTTCCTCCCCTTTAGCTTTGCAGAGCTCCAGCATCTCCAGGAGGGATTTGAAAGGGGGGGTTCTGCAAAAAGGATACTCAAAAAGGGTTTGTCCCAAGCGCTGCAGCATCAGCAGGAAGCCTGGTTGAAGCCCAGCTCCCTGCCCTGGGCTTAGGTGGATTTCTTGGGTATAGCTGACACTGGTGCCATCAGATCAGCATCTCTTCCCCCCAGCATGGCTGTGCTCAGAGCCACTGGGTCATCCAGGATCTGTGCCCTGCTTCATCACCGCTTTGAGTTGAGTTGAAATCATAGGGACATTAAAATCCTTACAACAAGTGATCATCCCCCCTTGCCCTCCCCTCTTCATCCCCCCTCAATAAAGCACATAGCTTGGTTTAGACCTTAAAATAAACCCCAGGACACTGAGCTGCTCTGGGTTTGGTTTTCATGGGGACTGGGCACTGCCAGCTGGAAATCCAAGGAATAAAAGGCCCCTGATGTACATTAGCAATGATTCACTGAGGGGCACGTAGATCACCCCCTGCTTTACATCACCAGGCCAAGGGGAATGGCTTGAACCTGCCCGAGGGGAGACTGAGCTGAGCTCTTAGGCAGAAGCTCTTCCCTGTGAGGGTGCTGAGGCGCTGGCACAGGGTGCCCAGAGAAGCTGTGGCTGCCCCATCCCTGGCAGTGCTCAAGGCCAGGTTGGACACAGGGGCTTGGAGCAAGCTGCTCCAGTGGAAGGGGTCCCTGCCCATGGCAGGGGTTGGGGCTGGATGAGCTTTAAGGTTCTATGATTCAACCCTTGAACCCTACTGGGACAGAGGAGCAGAGGAGAGGAGAAAGTTCCCCTTTTCGCCATCTTGTTTGGAGAGAAGCAAAACCGGTGCCACCTTTGCTTCCCCACCAATACAAAGAGGTGAAAACTTCCACCAGCATCACCAAAACCTGACCAAAATCCTCAGGGGATCTCTCCCCCATCCCTGCTGTTCTTTGGTGAGTTTATTAAGTGCCTGGGATTAATTGTGGGAGCAATTTTCTGCTGTCTAAATTCCCCCCATCACCGGTCCTCCCCTCGCGCCCTGGCTCTGGAAGCCAGTTTGGGGATAATTATGCCCCATCTGGAAACCTTTGGGGAAGGTGTGAACCTGCTCGGCTGAAATCCGACATATTTCATCAATTATTCCATCCATTAGCCCCAGCCTCAGCGCCTTGCCCTGCTAATTTGACAAGAGCACCAGTTAAAGAGGCTTTTTAACCCTCATTCACTTCCCATCACCCTGCATGCAGAGAGCTGGGGAGCAGGGCAGCTGGAAGTAAGCTGAGCCCTGTCCTGCAGGGATGGTGACATGTCACAGCCCCAAA